CAGAGTATATATACATCACCTCTGCGGCTTTAAAATTCCTGAAGCCAGATTTAAAAAACAAAACAAGTGAGCAAAGGAAGAAAAGAGAGAGGCAAACCAAGAAACAGGCCCTTGACCACAGAGAATCAACTGATGGTCACCTGAGGGGCGGGGGTGGGAGGATGAGTGAAATGGGTGATGGGTCGTGACGAGCACCAGGTGATGCAGAGAACTGCTGAATCACTATACTATACACCTGAAATTAATGTCACACTGTATGTTAACTATGCTGGAACTTAAAATTTGAAAAAAAATGAAAAAATTACTGAAGCCGGGTCTCACCCCCGACCCAGTGAGTCAGGAACTCCAGGGGTGGAGCGCAGGGACGTACATGGTTTTTAAAAGCACCCATAGAGACTACCCTTCCCCACGGGAGTGTTTCTGCCTCACATTCCAGGTTAAGCACCACAGACACGCAAAGCACACAACACTGCATTCTCATTCTCATTCTCAGAGCTGACCTTGCTTCCTACTTTCACTAGGAAAACAGAAGCAATTATAGACTCCCACCAGCACACCGCCCAGTGTGCCTCTGGATCCACATGCTTACACTCGGCTTCCTCTCCCGCCGCGTGAGCCAGGCTCCCCCTCCACTAGCACACTGATTGCCCTCCCTCTCCACTTACAAGGTCACGGACCCAGCAAATGCCCCCTTTCTCTGGTGCTTCCCTCTCTACCAGATCATTCCCATCATCAGCTTCCGGATATCCGGACACATACTGTCACATCACCCATCTTCACACACACACACACACACACACCCTTCCTTAACCTCCTATCCATGTCTGGTTTCCACACTATGTCTCTGTTCCCTTTTACAGCAAAACTCCTCAAAAAAGGCTGTTTACACCTGCTGCTTCCAATTGCCCTTATTCTCTCTTGAACCCACTCCAATCGGGCTTTCATTTCCTTGGAAACAGTACAGCAAGATCATCAACTACCCCATTTCTAAATCCATCCAAACAATGACAAATTCTTTGTTTCATCCAACTCGATCCACCACAGCTCTTTTAAAATAGCTCATCATGCCTTTCTTGAAGCTTGTTCTTCTCTTGGCTTCCAAGTGAACCCTGTCTTTTGGTTCCTCTCCTACCAAATAGGATGCTCCTCCTCAAATTCTTCTGATGAGGATGGTGTCTCCTCTTCTCCCCAGCCCTGAGCACTGCAGCTCCAAGATGCACTTGGTCCTAGGACCTCTGCTCGACAGTCATTCCTTTGGTGACAGAGTAGTCTCCCTGCTTTAAATCCTATCCATGTACAAATTATTCCCAAGTTTATCCACATATGTCTATGTGTTTTTGTTTCTTACTCCCTTTGCCGTCTAAGAATATAAATTGCACAAGGACAGAGACTAGGTTTTTCCCTGCAATCTCCCCAGGACCTGGCACACACTAGGTGCTCAAGATAGATTTGAAAGGATTAAGGCCGGTATCTGCCTCCATCAAACAATAACAGATTTCCGTATCAATTCTTAAAAGAACACTTAGGTAACAGCAACAACAAAGAGCTCCTAGAAAAAGAAGAGATAAAGACTCAACAGAGGGTTTGGAGAATAAATGTTAAGTGTAGAAATCTCACACTGAGCAGAGCAAAATGCTAGAGCTCAAAAAAGAGGAAGGACAAGAAAATTAGGCAATCTTTCCAAAACATCGAATATCTGAGTGCCCCACATGCCAAAAGAGAAGATAAAACCATTCAAGAAAACCTGCTGCAACTGTGGCCGCAAGTTTCCCAAATGAAAGGGCCCAGTGAGGGCCCAACATAACGGCTGGCTCATCATGAAGCAATTTCAGAACATCATGGACACAGGAGGTCCAAGAAGCATCCAGAAAGCAGGAAGATAAATAGGTTTTGCAAAAAAAGAACCAAGGGTTAGAAGAGCACCAGGGTGGAAAACGATTCAAAATGATGTCACGCTTGTACTCCGATACCCATACAATTGTCTCGAAGCGTCAAAGTAGAACAGGGCCACTTTCAGACACGTAAGGCTTCAAACATATTTACTGCCATGTTTTCTTTCCTAGGCAGCTGACAGAGGACGCACTCCACCAAATGAGAGATTAAGCCAAGAACTCGGACGTCACGAGATGGAAAAGCCCGAGAGAGGGGCGAGAAGAATCCCTGGGATGGGGGCTGAGGGGCCAGGGGGGCAGCCAGCCTACGACCTTCCGGACCATGTCAGGAGACCGGGAGGGGGAATTCTTCAAGAAATCAAAACGACCATCTACTGAGACCTAGTCTCTGTCCTGGAAGTGTACACAACCAGGGGGTATTCTGAACATACAATCTGTAAGAAACAAAGCAGACGGAAAGTCCTGATCTTGGGGTGCAGGAGAGGACCAGAGCTCTCGCACCGTCTCAGCCTGTGCACTGCTTACTGATGTGAGCGCCGAAAATAGTTACAACTAAAATTAACTGTACTGGGAGGGTGGGGGGGGGGGTAGAGGAGAGTAAAAAACGCCAGATCTGAGGACACTACAGAGAGGCAATGAATAACAGCTGAAACTGGGATTTGGAGATAAGGAGGTAAATGCTACAAGGAGCAGATAAGAAAGCCGACAGCCGGTGCCTCTGGGGGTCTGGAGGGCTGCGGGCTTCTGTTTTCCACACAGAGCCACACAGAACCATTTGTCCCTGGAACCACCCACAGAGACAACTGAGGGAAAAATGAAAATTATGTCCGAGGGTCCCACCGCACGGAACTAGCAGTGGAAGAGGGCTGGGTAACAACTTCGCAGACGCACGAGTTAGCAGCGTGTGTCCAAATGCTGCAGGCGCATGCGCTTTGACCTAGCAGCCCCACTTCCACGAACGGACGAGGAAAACCAGGGCACGGGGGTAAAGGACTGAATGAATTCGGGTATTTGCTGACCACACTCATTCCACTAAAAAATCAAGAAAACAATTGTCATTTCACTCTGCCGAATGATAGCAGATCTCGGCTCAAATCCTAGTACTACTATTTGCTACCTGTGACTACAGGGACTCAAGTGCATGGAATACAAAAATAATAATCATATATACCCAACATTTATACGTTGGGAGGAAAAGCTGATTTAACGTGTGAGGTGTGCCTGCTTGGTAAGAGTAAAGGTTCAATACCCGTTCATTATCAAAATGATCTCCTCTGCACTCTTCTGAATTATTTGAATTTCTCTCTTGATGAAAACACATCTTTTGTACAAATACAATAACCCTTTAGTTAAAAACAATATTATTCTAAAAATACACAAAGCAGAGAAAGAAAAAAGACATATAATCCCACCGCTTGTCAATTATATAAAAGAAGTCAGTATGGCCCCATCTGAAACCATCGCTACCCTCTAGTTACCTAGCAATTTTTTTCTCTGCTTATACAGACACACGTACACCCATATAATTCTTTATTAAATAAAACCAGAATCATGTCACCTGTTTTTTTTTTTGTTTTTTTTGTTTTCCATTTTCCGATATATTGTATCCATGGCTCCCATCACCTCATTCTTTTTACCTGGTACACAGTATTCCTTGTGGCATGTAGTAAGAACTGAGGCAACCCACTACTGAAGAACTTTCAGAGTATTTCCCATTTTTTGCTACCGCAGAGCCACAGTAAGTGTGAACACATACCCTTACATATCAGCTTATTATTAGATTCCAAGAGGGGGCTGATTCATAAGGAATGGAGTTTTTCTCATTGTTTTTTAAAAAATATTGAATAGACACAAAAATAGCTGTAAAAGTTATGTGAGGTATTTAGCAACAACAGGGGCGCCTGGGTGGCTCAGTCAGTTGAGCATCCGACTCTTGGTTTCAGCTCAGGTCATGATCTCAGGGTCATGAGATCACCCGGTCGGGCTCTGCACTCAGTGGGGAGTCTGCGTGAGGATTCTCTCCCTCTGCCCCACCCCCCCACCCATATTTTCTCTCTCTTTAAAATAAATAAATCTTTAAAAAAATAGTAAAGCAACAATACAATATAACCACTGCACGCCCTCCCTCGGTTGAACTATCATTATGTTTGAAGTTTCCCATTGCCCCTCCCTGACTCCATAGCAGACATTATGAGAGGTGCCATGTATCAATCTTTTACTTTTTTTCTCTTTGCTAAAAGAAACAAATATCTCATTAATGCTTCCTTTTTCCTATCTTTAATCATTACAACATACAGTATCTTCTCATAGGTTTATTGGCTATTTGCATTTTTTTCTATAAGCTGCTTATTCATTTCATCTTTTTTTTTTTAAAGATTTTATTTATCTGACAGAGAGAGACACAGCGAGAGAGGGAACACAAGCAGGGGGAGTGGGAGAGGGAGAAGCAGGCTCCCCGCTGAGCAGGGAGCCCGATGCGGGGCTTGATCGCAGGATGCTGGGATCATGACCTGAGCCGAAGGCAGACGCTTAACGACTGAGCCACCCAGGCGCCCCTCCTTTATCTTCTTTTGGGTTGATCTGGGTGTTTTATTTTCTGATTTACGGAAACGCTGCATATTGGGGATATTAACCCGCTGTTACTACACATGTTGCAGGTAATACCATACCCTTCACCAGAGAAAGTGTTACATTCCCATGTGGATAGCTCTATTAATTTTCCTTCTGGCTTCCCAACTTTAGGTGAGGATTTGCCCATACACTCTTTAGAATTTTGTTTTATATGTTTAGATGGTTCACTGACGCAGACTTTATTTTAGTAGATGGTGGGAAATAGTTCTGTACTTTATTTTCTCCCAAGTGCACAGCCAGTAGGTCTAACAGCTTTTACTGAATAATTCCTTTCGCCATCGATACAACTACTACACATCCAATTTTCACACACATACATGGATACAAGTGTCCGTACGTGTGTATGATGCGCGTGTGTGTCTATGTGTACACATACGCATTTATGGTGTTTACACGGCTGTTTCACACTCTGTTCTCTTCCACTGCTCTGTCTCGCCCAGGGAACGCCATGGAGCGAGGTCCAAAGAAATCACTCACCTGCCCTTCTTCGTCAAAAGCCATGACCACCACAGCAGCTCCAAACTTCTTAATCTTTCTAGCCTTCGCCAAGAAGTCATCCTCTCCCTCCTTCAGGCTAATGCTGTTGACAATGCACTTGCCCTGGCAGCACTTCAAGCCGGCTTCAATCACGGCAAAATTGGAAGAGTCGATGCACAAGGGCACCTAGATCAGAGGGGCAGGAAGAAGCAGGGAAAAATCACAAGTCACCACGGATTGCCTTCCGAGGGCCAGCTCCCAAACAGTCCTCATTTCGTATGTAGGGAAACACTACACCAATAATAGTAGTGTGGCAGAAAAAGGATTTTAATGTACTTGTTCTTTTAAAGCCCATAACACTTGGAGTGATTCCGGTCCTGCAGGAGACCCCATACATGAGTCCAAAATTTACACACATCAAAGATCACAGCTAAACACCAGGACGAAATCACTGAGCTCAGCTCATCCGCTTCATCCCCAGTTTACACCTTCCAGTGCCTACAGCTTAAACAGGATTCCAGTACCCCTGATCTGACTCTGGGATTAAGGTTTGGCCTCACACCCTGGAGAACAGCCCTCCAGCCAAGTTATTCACATCCAATCCTCCCTTTAGAAAATCAAGTTCCTGACTGGAAAAACAAACAAAATTTTACTCTTAGAAAGGAAAAGACGGGATATTTAATAAATATATATAAGAAAGGACAAAGTTGGAAGGCACAGAGGAGAACAGGGCCATTTTTACTAGTCTCCATGCATTCATGCCTTTGTTCTGGAAAAGGTGAAAGTAAGGGTTTCGAGGCAGGACTAGAGTCAAGCACAGAAATGAAACAGGACAGCTGATCTAGGCTCCATTGCTTAAGTCACTCAAAAAGTATATAATTAAGCGACAACCACATGAGGCCCCCTGCTAGCCTTGGGGGCAATGACAGAGTAGGTGGCTCCCTGGCTTCCCAGAGCTTTATAAAGATAAACGAGCTTATATAAAGATAAACAAGTAACGACATAAAGTGTGGGGGACGTGAGGGCAGGAGACGAGCATAGCTGTCACGAAAGCCTGCTTCAGGGGCACCAGACCCCACCTGTGCATGGCAGGGGGGCAGGAGAATCACAGCAAGGTTCCCAGGGCAATCGGCTCTTCCTCAGGCCACATCTCCAAAGGAGAGAGAGCACAACGGAACACGGGACCCTCGATTCTACCCTTTCCCAGCACGCTGGTAATGACAGGTTTGCGGTCAGGTGCCAATGCCAGTGCCAATACCAGGCCAATGTTTTAAAGTGCTGGCTGAGTCTGGTGTCCCAACACCGCTGGTGAAAACGTGCTAGTCACACCTTTTTATGCTCGACTCCAGATGTTCATAATTTGGCCTCAAATAAATTGTGGTAGGAGGTCCAATCCAGGAAAGATAAGGAAGAACAATTACTGGAGCAATCAGAACAGTAATTAATTAATAATGTCTTAAGTTACACAAGGCTGTTCATAGTGAAGGCACTTTTATCTTCAGGGTCCGAGAGTCAGACACAGCAGGTATGACTGCTTCCACTTCGGGGCAGAGGAAGGAAACTCGGGTCAATGGTCAGTTGGCTTGCCTGGGACTGTAAAAGTCTTCCAACTCCCAGCAGAGCCCCCTTCCCACCCCTCAGCTGATGAACAGCTGCTCCCCCTTCTCCGCATCTTAAATTCTCAGAATATTTACTCCCAGAGGAGTGATGAGGTTTTTTTACTGAGGAGTTTAAAGACACAAATGAAAGATGGATTAATGTAATCCACTGCTTACCACAAGACGCCTAACTTAAGCACTGGCTGAAGGCCTAATGAAACACTGACAGCCCCATCTCTCAAAGCACTAGGAAGTTTCTTTAAAAAAGAACTTCACAAATCACTTCCCCATCACAAATTCAATGGTAGAGAAATGAAGTAAAAACTTTAAAGATTTTAGGATCCACCTAAAAAATGTTCTAAAGAAATGGACACACAAATTAGCTTTCATCTTTTAAAGAACAAATGTAAAAGCTGACATATGCTATTTTGATTTAATCTTGTCTTATAATTTTGTTTACTCTGATAAGCCCCAGAAGGTCTCTTCCTCCCGCAATAAGGAAGAACTGCCTGACTGACACTGTGCTCGGAATAGAACTAATGTCTTGGTAGGAAGAGGCAAGTGTATCCTTCGGAGACGTGGGAAGGAGGTTCTTAGTCCGTCCAGACATCAGAGGAAACTCAATTCTTGTGAGCAGTTCCAGAAGCCTTGGAAACAGCTGAGCTGAAGTCACAACTCTCTCTGGTTTATATCGAAAGGCTACCATTAGGGAAGAAAGTGACAAACAGAAACCGTTGGGCTTTCACTGTAGGAACACAGAACACCAGGGTGTGAGATGACGGATCCCTGGAACAAGTGACAAAGTTAAATGAGTGACAGAGGAGGGCAGGTAAATCCCCTCATTTTGTACAACCTTGGCGATGTCGGGCTCGGAAGCAATGAAGTTGCAAAATCTGGTCATTGCACTCGAACCATCCAGCATGCCATCATCCATGTTGATATCCAACACCTGCGCTCCCATTTCCACCTGCACTTTGGCAACACTCAGTGCTTCCTGAGAGAAGAACGCCAGACGAGGCAGCATTAGGAGAAGGTGACTCGAGAGAAGTCCTTTCAAATCAGACTGGACGAACCAGCCTCCCCAAGTCCCGGCCTGCTCTCCTCCCGTCCATCATCACAGGCTGATGATTGGCCTTTCCTCCACATCCCCTCCCTCATGTCAGTTCACAACTCAGAATCCACCAAGGTTCTGTCCTGCCATAAAGAAGCTCAACTCCCTCAGCCTGGCATTCAAGGCCCTCCGTGACCCAGCCCCACTCTTCCCCTCCTGGTTCCCTTCACCCAACCACATCTGTTTCCACTTCAGGGTCACAGATCACGTTGTCTCCTCTGCTTGGGATACAATCCCCTTCCCTTCTGTACTGTTTAGGACCCAGCTCAAGCCCCAGCTCTGCCAAAAGAGTCCTCAGAGAAACCATCCACAACTTCTGTGACTCTTCAGTGTTTGCCAAGAATGCAAAGTGTGTTGCAGACTGTTGGTAAGAGTTACATGAAATAGGAGTTAAATAAAATCCAGCAGGTTTTTATACTGGAAGGCTTTTCAAATCCTTTAATACACTGTCACCCGCTGTTAAGTATCCAAGAACAGAATACGCAGCATTTCCCAACTTATGACCACTGAAGGAGTATATTGTAGGCTCAGTGCTCCAGAAAACATACTTTGGGTGGGAAACACGGCTTATTCCACAATGACCTGCTGCCTCTGTAACTTCTGTAACGACTGTGATCGTTATATCATCGCGGTCTATGAGATCATCATTTCCTCAGCATTTCATGAGTATTAGCTTATTCCTCAAAATAGAGTGTAAGTGTTTGGAACTCTGGAAAGGTCTTAGGTTTCTCCTGCTCTCCTTTGAACAATGCTGGGCAAAATATACACATTCCATAATGCTTTCTAACTAACTGATAAAACAGAGAGTTTATTTTAGGTCTTCATCGTACACTTTATAATGTAATAAGATAAATAAGGATAAAATCAATAGTAGCTTCTGATGTTGTCTTATTTTTTCTTTAGCTTAAGAAAACCACATCGAAATTTTAAGCAATCATTGTGACAGAGCAGGCATGAGACCTTTTGCATATGCCACAAGGAAAGACCATTCGTAATGACCCAAGGTTACACAGGAAAAGGATCACAATAAAATTCAGCACATCAAAAAATGTTTTTTCAGTATCGGCAATGTGTTAAATACTATAAAGAGTCGAGAGCATGCGTCCCAATCCCTGTTTCTGGAGGGCTTACATCTAGCTGAGGGCATATGACAGTCACACAAACAGCCAGCAGTGTTGCCATGTGAGGTGTGAGTCAAGTTCGAGACGACCTACAAAGCAGGAGAGGGCCAGCCTCTGCGGACTGAAATGGAGGAAGCCACCTCGGAGGGACAGTCTTCAGCTGGCCCCTGGGGGACAGACTGGAGGAAGCAGAGCGGAGACAGCTAGCAACCTGGTGAGACCAGAGATCGAAAGAGCTGGAAAGCAGAGATGCCAATACCTGACCTTTCTATTCCAGAAAAGTCACGGAGTGAAACCTTGGAGGTCCAACCCTCCCAAATGGGCTCGCTACGATGACATCATTTGTACAAGGTGAGCAAAAATCAGCCCTGGAGCTTCTTTCAAGGTCAGTGCTCCTTCTGTTAAACCACAAAGGCTCGAGGGATCGCTAACTCAGGGAAAACTAGAATCAAATGAGGAGTTAGCCCTAGTGGCCCCCTGACAGATCCCACGCCTCCTCCTGTGTCCTGAAGGCAGGGACAGCAGAGTGGTCTTGGGGGCTATCATTCACTTGCTGTGAACAACAGGCGAGTAGTTGGCCTTCCCCCAGATGTACGTGGGAAAAATAGGGGTAATAATGGAACCTATCTCATGGGTCTGTGAGGATTCGGTGAGTAATGATGGAAAGCGCCTCGCACCGTGACTGGCACATAGTAGGACCCTACTAAAGGCTAGATATTATTACTCCCATCCGCTTTCATGTTCCTAAGTTGCCCTCTGTGCTCCGTATCAAATCTATCAAATCTGACAGCTCAAAGGTACACCACAGAATGGCCATTAATAATCAAAAAGTAAACAGAAACATGGCCAACTGAAGAATGCTATGTAACTACTAAGGGTCATCAGGATTTCGAGAGGAACAAACAAGAAAAAAAAGGCATGGGTGCAGAAGCAAGCCTTCTGGAATGTTCGGGTGACAGGCTGGGATGGGAAGACGGTCTGGTGTCTAAGTGAGCTAAATGAATGGTGGCCTAAAGAGTTTGGATTTTCTCCCACCTGCACAAAATGTAACGCTGTGAAAGCTTCTGATCTGGGGGAGGGCTGTGACAGGAGCTCACAGCAGCAGCAGCAGGAATGCAGGGCAGAGGGCAGACAGGACCTGCCAGGAAGAAGCAAAGCAGCTAAGCAGGCCTTGTTGGTGTGCCGCAGAGGGGCGCCACTGAGGGCTACCGTGGAGCAGTAACTAGTAAGTCCATGAAGGCTGATAAATGGGTCCTTTCTCGGTGATTAAAATGAAGTCTGCTTTGATACTGATTTCTGGAAAATCTATTTCCTAAAGCTTGCAAAACCTCCAAGTGACAGCTGATGATAAAATAAATCATCACGAAAGCCCAGACTAAATTCCTCCAATGTTTAACTTACTATTTTAATAAGAAAAAAAAAAAAAAAAATCTATCCGGCTGTGTAGAGTAGGCTCTGTGGGGATCAGAGTTTGCTGACCCAGAGTGACCAAGCTGAGAAATACTATGGCTAAGCCGTCATGTAGACTCTCCAAGGCAGGGGCCTATTCCTTCTTTTCTGTGTGCTTGTTTATTTTAGTCTAGAGCCAGCAGAATCAAGACCACCGCACTAGTCAGCTGTTGGATGTGGTCACGAGGAAGTAACTAGGAATGCTCTTGGCTTCCCCTTTCCCTGGAAGGGTTTGTGAGAAGCCAACACGAAGAGTATTCTCAAATTCTTTAAACTTACTTCACAGTTAATAGAAATAGCCAGAACCTGGATCCCTCCCACCTCACCCCACTTCAGACCCCAGAGGCAGTTCTTTTTGACAAATATTAATAATAGCAGCTTCGGTCTTCCAAAGCCGCAGGCTCCCACCCGCCCACCTGCTGCAGACACACGTGACCGTTCTCCTCACGGTCCCCAGAAGCTCTGCTAATAGTACTCTCGAAGGCTGAGCTGTCTCATTTACATGCTGTCTAGCCAAAAACATGGCAGATGCCTCAAGGGTCTTAATGAGATGCTCACTTCATAGTTTCCTGCCATGATGAGTTTAGCAAACTTCCTGGATCCTGCCACGTTACAGCGCTCTCCAATGTTAACAAAGTTGGTGTACGGTCCGATCCTGAAGGGCTCTAGACCTTAAAAGGAGAAGCATTTTGAAAATTTTCTGAAAATTCATATGATGACATGAGACAGACAGAAAACAAATGTTTTCATCGAGAAAGAAGCTTCGGCGGCACAGCCCACAGGACTAGAGAGGATCCCTGCTGTGGGATTAGGACCGTGGCCTCCTCCCCCAGGGATATTTAAACACAACAAAGGCTACATGTTACAGCTACATGGACACGCAGAACCTCCAAAAGAAGTATTTTAGGAGTGGAGATGCAAAATGTTTCTAAAGAACTGCTTCACACCAGCTCTGAGAAACAAGGAAGCATTATCATCACACCCCTATTTCACCGAGGGGCCGGTGGAAGCCATGAGGTTAGACTCGAGGGATCACTCTGCAGCTGTCCACCCAGGCATCAGCGCGAAGCCGGATGGAGTAAGCTGTCGTCACCCACCAGCAGCGAGCTGAGAGCTTTACCGTGTGTCTTTGATCCAGCGGCCAAGAACCCATGACCAGCCAGGGCGCATGAGATCACGGGGAAGGACCCAGGCTGAGCCCTGGGAGACAGGACTTGCCGCGGCACACCCCCCACTCATGAGCTGATGCTGCAAAAACCAGGGCTCTCCGCACCTCTCTCCTTACATCTCTCCTGTTACAGGCCAACTGAGGGGCAAATACCAGCTTTCTAATTATGAACACATTCACGGAGCTAAAAAGCAAGACGAGGCGTAAAGTATCACTACAGAAACAGCCCTTAACTGTTTTTGTTCTACTTGTTCTATTGAAAGTGTGAGGCGAGGGGGGCTTGCAGGGTGGTCACAGGCAGGATGGAGGGACAGCCAGCCGTGGGTTCAAAGCCCAGGGACACTTCTTTCATAGCCTCTGATCGTATAAAAGAGAGACATAAAAGGATGGTTTTTCATACTTGTTTCATACATTTCATAGCACTATTGTAAAAATGAGACTAGAGAACGCTGATAAGCATAAAATTAGCACCAGCAATCATAGCCATTGCTGTCAATAAAAGAAAATGGCTTTTGTGTCCTTTGTCAAAGCACTGGTTGAGAAAGAACAAAATATCAGGGAGAGGAACAAAATATCAGGGAGAGGAAAAAAACGAATATGAGATGAGTCATCACAAAAGTATTCCAGACTGTTTAAGGGACTGGGGAAGCTATCCCTTCCCAGTTTTGTCCTGTCATTTCTTCCCACTGGGAGTGACCCTCCGAGGGAGCTGCAGGGTGGCCCCGGGCCTTAGTCAGACCCGGGGGCGCGCAGGGCAGGCAGACAGCCAGGCCGACGCGTAAACGCTCAAGGGGCCCTGCATCATCGCCCTATGAGCGCCGCATACAGAGGACTTCTCATCGGTTATATGTGTGAAGTATCTGATATAAAAACTACATTTTTCTTAAGTTTGTAATCCATGAAAGAGTATGTTTGATGTCATTCTTTTAAAATCTGATTGAAGGTGATTTTTAAAGCAATTTAGAAATAGCACATGAAATTCAAATCAGAAGAAGAGGATTCTTTTATTCTTACATCTAAATTCTTTTTTAAAAATCATATCTAGGGGCGCCTGGGTGGCTCAGTCAGTTAAGCATCTGCTTCGGGCTCAGGGCATGATCCCGGGGGTCCTGGGATGGAGCTCCGTGTCGGGCTCCCTGCTCAGCGGGGAGCCTGCTTCTCCCTCTGTCCCTTCCCCTGCTTGTGCTCGCTCTCTGTCAAATAAATAAGATCTTAAAAAATAAATTAAAATAAAAATCATATCTAAGTGGTTCTCTTCTTGTTTCAATTGTGGCAAAGCCTGACTATTTAAACTGCGAGTCCTTGGCTGAAGCAAACAATAGTTTTAAGATCTAAGGATGAAATAAACTAAACTATCCTACCACACCCCTCTCTGTTTTCTGGAGAATAAAAAGAAAACAAGGAAGACTGAAGAGGGTTTTTAACCCAACTTCACACTCACTCACTGGGATGAATTTGATGAAGTTATATTCCAACTGAGAAAAGTAGGTGTTTCTTTTACTTTCCCTTGTATTTTATTTCAATTTTCTTAGAGGAACATAAGGAACAAAAACACTTCAATTCAGGGAATTCCAAATTCTAAATTATTAGGGTGCCTAATTTCCCATGTGCGCTATTTGCATGTTCTCTAAGAATCTGTGTGTGTATTATATATATATATAATACACACACAATTGTTTTCCTTAGAAACGCTACCTAACAATACATCATTGAAGTATTATGGGGAAAACATAAAATTTAAAGTTATGTTTCTAATGGATGGCATGATAAACTCTTTTATTAACGTTCCTTATTTGAACATCAACACTCATTCTCAAAAAGGGAAGCTGCCCACCTTATGGGACTATCGAGCACCAGAGAACAGTCAATACCACACACCTCTTTGTAAAGTCCTAAATACATGGTGAATCTAAAATGGCGACAATAATGTTGTAGAAGCAAGCACAATTTTCTATGAAGAGGCTGCTGTTGTGACAAACCATTGAGCCTTGGAATTTTCAATAACTAATAGCAAGTCTGACGATTAAAACAGCCTGTGGCCGAGAATATGTTTTCAAAGCAGTACCTCACAGAGCCAGGACCATGTGAGTTCTAAATCTAAGCAAGGGCCCCACCTGGGCAAACCACCTGTGCCTTCTGCCCATTTCCCACCCCTGATCTTCACTAGAATTCATCTAAATGCAAGAAAAAATATGGACGCTTCTTTGACCTAAGAAACAAGTTGCTTGCCACACACATCACTACCACTTAGGATAAACATATGAAATTAACCACAAATGGTTTCTGAAATGATAAAAATCATGTCTTTATCACTTACCAGATAGTAACATATGCTCTTCAAAAACAGTGGCAGGTGGAACTCTAGGCTTACAGTTTTTCACAGCTTTAGCAATCTCCCTGAGTTAAAAGAGAAAACACTGCCTCCATTAATTCAGAATAAAATAAATTTAATTAAACTAATTCCCAGCTATGAAATTAAGTCTATTTAACATAACTATGCACATAATTATATACCTAATTCCAAATGTGCAGCAACAGTTATGCCTTTTAGTTTTCTCAGCAATGCAGAAAATGAATGTGTCAACTTTAACTTTTCTGTATTTTCCCAGTCTGCTGTGTACTGACTGCACCAGTTTCTGCCCTCAAGAGATAGAAACCGAGATACGCGATGGTTTACACAAATGCAAACAGCAAATCTCCTTTCTTTCTCAAACCCATAGATGCCCTTTACTCCACGAAGTATGTGCTTGCTTCTTAGTGGTTTAAAAGAAAAAAAGGCTTCATCGTTGAGAAGGAGGAGCATACAAGGAGAGGTGCCAGGAGTGGAGGCCCGTGTTTCAGGTCAGTTTTTCCCAGGCACAGAAAGCACAGAGTAGGGAGGGTCCATGGTAATAAATCACTAAAACTCCAAGATGATTAGTCTTCAAAATTTGCTTTGCTTATGCATATACTTTTTAACCTTATTGGCTGTGGTAAATTATGTCTTTGATCAACCCGGAAAAATCTGGCTACTCCACTAAATTTATCAGGGTCAGTATGAACTCCTTGCTCTGCTGCCCCCTAGATTGGTATGCCCAAGTAAAAGCCGCAAACACACACACACACACACACACACGTAGGAGATAAGTAGATACAGACATATATACACCTGCATGTCGATACACACGGACACAGAAACACAAACACACAGGTATTTTTAAAACAACTCTTTTTAAAAAGGAGGAGATAACCTTAAAAACAAAAAGAGATCCAAAGATTTAAAAACAAAAAGAGATCCGCCTTCAACTATTGATAGCTTTTAGATACTATTTAAAAGATATTTCAGGAGCACCTGGGTGGCTCAGTCGTTAAGCATCTGCCTTCGGCTCAGGTCATGATCCCAGGCTCCTGGGATCGCGTCCCACATCGGGCTCCCTGCTCCGCGGGAAGCCTGCTTCTCCCTCTCCCACTCCCCCTGCTTGTGTTCCCTCTCTCACTCTCTGTCAAATAAATAAAATCTTAAAAAAAAAAAAAGATATTTTTAAAAAATTCCATAGGCTCTTCACAGAGTCTATCACAGAAGCCAACAAAAGCAGTGAACTGTTAGGTACTTCAGGATGGCAGACACATCGTGTGCACAAAAACAGACTCAGAACAGTGAGATGACTGGCTCAAAACAGGATCATCCATCATGGGAGAGAAAAAACAAATTACAAACAGTCCGAAACTGGATTTTATTCCACCTCTTATTCCTCTTATCAGCCACAAAATGGCAAGGACTTGGAACACATACTCCACCGGGCTCTTCTTCCACACCGCCATGCTTCACACGCTCACTCAACAACATGGAGTACGCAATGACCTTAAGGTGCCTGGTTGTCTTACTGTCTTCCCCTTCCATGAGACAATTAATGGAGACATGTACTTGCCCACAAGATATATGAACCGTCCTCCTTAATTTTCTGAATACTAGTTAAGTATTTAAGGATAGAATATCATAATATCTGGAATTTGCTTCACAATATTCTAAAGGGGGAAAAAGTTGGAAAATAGACAAAATAACAATAGCAAAATCTAGAAAATTATCGAAACTCTGTGGTAGGCACATGGAAATTCATTTTATTATTCTTCTACTTTGTTTTTGGAATTTTTCACAATATAAAGGCATCTCGGTTTGCTAGGGCTGCCAAAATAAAATACCACAGGCTGAGTAGCTTAAAGAGCAGCAATTTCTCAAGGTTACGGAAGCTAGAAATTGAGACGAAGGTGTGTGGACAGGGCCAGTCTCCCCTCAGGCCTCTCCGGCTTGGAGACAGCTGTCTTCCCCCTATGTGTTCACTCGATCCCTTCCTCTGTGTGTCTGTCTCACAAAGACACCAGTTACACTGGATTAGGGTCCACCCATAGGATCTTGTCTTACCTTCATTATCTCTTTAAAGATCCTATCTCCAAATACAGTCACATTCAAAGGAACTGGGCGGCTGGCACTTCAACACATGAATGGTGGGGGGGTGGAGGACATGATTGGTCCCATGACAAAAGATAGCGCATTTAGAAGGGATTCCTACCTGATATGATCTGGTGTCGTACCACAGCAACCACCCACTATATTGACCAAGCCATCCACAGCAAAGGCCTGCATTTCGGAAAAGAAAAGTTTTCACAGAGCCCATCTGAATTCTAACCTCGCCTCCACCAATTTAGCAGAAGGAGATCTATATTGTGCTCGCTTCGGCAGCACATATACAGAAGGAGATCTATGTTTCCTGAATAACGAATTTTTCATTGTAAAGAGAGTTAAACATACTTAATCCAAGATATAAAGCTTTCACGCGCCTTGGATGTAAGTTTAAAAGCAGTAAATAGTTCAGATGCTATGAAATCCTTTACACCATTTATAAGTACAATGACATAATCATTTGCCTACTTGGTCATAATAGAGATTTCTTCTTTTTCCCCATATGCTGAGGTGAATGACTGTGAGCTGGACAGTGTATCGAATAACACATACAGTGAGCATCAGTTTTTATATTTAAGTTAATTTTATATTTTAATGAACTAAAAATTCAGGGGCGCCTGGGTGGCTCAGTCAGTTAAGCATCTGCCTTCAGCTCAGGTCATGATCCCAGGATCCTGGCATCGAGTCCCGCATCAGGCTCCTGAGCAGGGAGCCCACTTCTCCCTCTCCCTCTGCTCCTCCTCCTGCTCATGTGCGCACGCGCACTCTCTCTATAATAAATAAAATCTTTAAAAAAATAAAGAACTAAAAGTTCAGTTCCTCAGTCACATTTCAAGTTCTCCAATAACCACATGGTAGTGGCTACATACTGGACAGTGTGGGACTAGAGTTTAACCATACGCTAGTTAGCAAAAGACAGTAACTGAGGCAGGAAGTCAAGAAACTGAGAAGTCAGAGTATTGGAAAGATCATCTACGAGATAAGGAACTGAAATCACAAGAATCAAGTCAGAAATCATTTAGGAGGGAATGTTAGTGAGCCAAAAGTTGAAAGTTCAAGGAATGAGGAAGAGACCCAGGAGTTAGTGGGCAGTATGGTCCCATGACCTGGGATTCAAAGATGGGAGGTGTGTGGGCGATACGGTGTGCAGGCGACAATAGGGAGCAAGGAGGACACCTACTCCACCCAGCAGTTTGGTTGGGGTGGAGTGGGGGAGGGAAGCCAACACAAGAGAGGATTGCAGAGGACAGCGAAGTTTCAATTAGTCTGGGTCCAGCCTGACTGGGGATTTTCCAACAGCCCCAGGGCCAGATGGGGAGAAAAATACTGCCGGTGAGCCCCTCCCTCTGCCTCTACCATCGTAATTCAGAGTGGGTAAGCTTTTGTTATATAGACACTGGGATTTCTTTAGGAGAAAATTCTACTTCTAAATATTCTAAATCTAAGATTCCATTACTCCATCTCTTAAAAAACCAAATGAAAGACCATCCTTAACCTTTAGTTGCGTGGCCATCATATGCGGAGTTTCGTCGTAGTCACCAAACGTGTTGGGAAGACCTAAGAAAGCACATTTCAAGCATTACTGAAAACCATCTTAACAAATAGGCTAGTGTTTGTGAGACTGCAGGTTTAAAAGTTTGGAAAGTTTATATTTATAATTAAATAGTGATTACTTGCAAAAACAAATAATAGTTCTTAATATTGAACACAGGAAATGCAGAGATACACCTCTCCCCCCACCCCCCAAAAAAATCACAGAGACAAATAAACAGACTATTTCTCTTCCATTTGAAAGAAAAGAGTCACTACTATATGGGACAGAACTTCTCCAACCCCATCCCCTTCCCACAGAGGAAACTCAATCTTGCCAGCTAGCTGCTTGTGGGTAGAGGCTGGGGACTACTACATACCCTTTGAACTAACGAGCACCTGGTGATATGAATTAAAAACAAACTCAAAACACAACCAGTTCTCAAATAAATTTTTCCAAGTTCAAAGGTTCAAATAAATTTTCCCAAGTAAAATTTTAGCATCAAATTAACCAATTTCCTGTTTTATTTATTAGCTCCTTCCAGTTATCTTACTCCTTCTGGGGAAATAAAATTTGGTGAGCATTAAGATATACGTATTTCGAGAAAGAAAGCTGGAAAATGATTGTTAGCCCTAAGGAGCTAAGCAAATACTCAAAAACATTCACCAGGAAATCTGGTTAATGCAGAATGGGTTACTAATTTCTAATTGGATAGTTTGAGAACGGTCTATAAATATCTGTATCTGTATCTATACATAGTAAGCTAGAAGTGCTAACTTTTAGAAAAGAAAAAGCTGACAAAGGTTGTTAATACAGAACAGAGAGGAGGGCTCCCTCTCCTCTTCTTTTCACTCATCTCTTTGGCTATGTTCTCACGGCCAGCACCGTCACCCCCAAAGCAAGGCTCTGTAACTGGGCTTCATTCCCCCAAAGTTCTGTCCAATCCTGAAGCTTGCAGGCTGAGTCAAATTGTTCCTTCAGGTCTAGAGGCAAGCAGTGGTCTAGACCCAAATACTCTTCATTTAGAAAATGGCCACTGAATTTCAACTACATACCAAGACCTGCAAAACAAATTCTTTCAGCCAAACTCTCTTAACCCTACCTACCCTGTCGTGTGTATTTGGATTTCCCCGTGTGCAACTCCCTAGAAATACACACCTGCATTGGGATAACAGAGGACATAGGCTGTTGTACATTTTCCAATTGTTTCAATAAAAGGTCTCATTTCAGCTGCACCCAGAGCACAGTTTAATCCAATGCTGTAAAAACAAAAAGCAAGTATCAGAAGCATCATCTTGTATGCAAGGTATTTATGTATATAAAACATTACAATAAAGAAAGGACTATATTTAAAACCAAGCAGATAATAAATCTCCACTTTAGCTTTAGCACCTTTATTCAGATATAGTCAAAGCCATTTCACTGAAGTCCCTCTGAATGTTTCTGTCCATGTCTCCAATGTCAGACGATCTTACAGCTAAAGGCCCCTGCCTATGGTAGCTCCTTTAAGAATTTGACAGTTTGGTTACCAGTATACCGAAAACAGAAATGCCAGCAAACTACCAGTGCTAACAGACGTCTGATTTGAAAGCAATATTTATGAGAAGGAGAAAGGAAAATCATGGAGGTAGAAGAGAAGGCACAGTAATGATACATGGAAGCCACTGTGGGAGTCCAGAAGACCAAGACTGAGTAGTCATTGCTCTATAACTGACTTGCAAGGTGACCTTGGCCTTACAGTTTGTCCTCTTATAAATTAAACTGATTTATCTATAAAACCAAGTTTCATTTTGCATATGAAACTTACTGATTCAAATGAAACAGATCTGAGCAGAGCTGCTCTAACTGAAGTTTTTAGGGTGGAGGGCCTGAAACCCCTCCAATACCACTCTCAGTGGGGCCCGGGGGGCCCTCAGGAATTCAGAAATTAACTAGGAAGCTACTAGACTATTTCAATTGTTTTCTTTTACTATGATTCCTAAGTGCAATGTGATACACTAGATTAGATCCTGAGGCAGAAAAAAAGGGCAATTGTGAAAACACTTGAAATCTGAATAAAGTCTGGAATTTAGTTAATAGTAATACTATTCTTAGTTTTGACAAAAGGACCATAGTTATGTAAGATGCTAACATTAGGGAAAACTAGATGAAGAGTATATGGAAATTCTCTCTACTGTCTTTGCAACTTTTCTTGTAAATCTGAAATTACCCCAAGATAAAAAGTTTATTTAACAAATACACACAACACCCATTCATGATAAAAACTCTCAGCAAACTAGGAAGAGAGGGGAACTTCCTCAACTTGATAAAGAACATCTACAAAAAAACCTATAGCTGACATCATAACTTGATGTAAAACTAGACGCTTTTCCCCTAAGATGGGCAACAAAATAGAGAATGTCCATTTTCAACTCCTACTTGACATTATACTGGAAGTCCTGGCTAATGCAAGAAGAGAAGGAAAATACAAGCTATACAGATTGGAAAGGAAGACATAAAACCATCTTTATTCACAGACAGGATGTAGAAAATCCCAAAGAATCAACTAAAAAATTCTTGGAACCAATAAGCACTGATAGCAAGGTTGCAAAATACAAGGTTAATATACAAAAGTCAATTTTTTACCTATATCCCAGCCATAAGCTATTGAAATTAGAAATTAAAAACACAATACCATTTGTATCAGCACCAAAACAGATGAAAGAGTGGGGTATAATTCTAACAAATATGTACAAGACCTACATGAAGAAAACTACAAAATGACAAGACTCAGAAGAAAGAAATCAAAGCAAATCTAAGTAGGTGAAAAGATATTCCATGGACATGAACAGGAAGACTCAGTATTATTAAGATGCCAGCTCTTCTCAATTTTATATATATATACATATATACATATATTCATTCACACAAACCCAGGGAAAATTCTAGCCAGGTATTTTGTAGCTATCAACAAAATGACTCCAACATGTATATGGACAGGCAAACAACCCAGAGTAGCTAATACAATATTGAAGGAAAAGAACAAAGTTGAAGGACTGACACTAAAAGCTAAAGTAATCAACGATATTGGTGAAAGAAGAGACAAATAGATCAATGCAATGAAACAGAGAGTCCAGAAAAAGAAACACACAAACACAGTCAACTGATCTTTGATAAAGCAGCAAAGGCAAGCGAACGGACAAAGGACTCCCTTCTTTCAGCAAACAGTGCTGGAACAAATGGACATTCACATGTGAAAAAATTCGATGAGACACAGACCTTACACCTTTCACAAAAATTAACTCAAAATGGATCACAGACCTAAATATAAACTGCAGAACTATTAAAGATATAAAGATACATAAAAAGATAACACAGCCTGAAACTAATATTATACTATATGTTTACTAACTGGAATCTAAATAAAAACTTGGAAGAAAAAAAAAGAGGTAACACGGGAGAAGACTTAGGTGGCCATGAGTTTGGCCATGAGTTTTTAGATAAAACACTGAAAGTAGGATCAATGAATGAAAAAGCTGATAAGCTGGACTTCACTAAAATCAACAACTTCTGCCCAGTGAAAGACACGATGCTGTTAAAAGCATGGGAAGACAAGCCACAGATTGGGAGAAAATATTTGCAAAACACATATTTGATAAAATAAGTGGTAACCAAAAGATAAAAAATTCTTAAAATTCAACAATATATATGCACCTAACGTAGGAGCAACAAAACATATAAACAATTATTAACAGACTTAAAGGGAGAAACTGACAGCAACACAACAACAGGGGACTTTAGTACACCACTTCCATCAATTGTGATCATCCAGGCAGAAAATCAATACGGAAACATTGGTCTTAATAAGACACATTAGACCAACAGACTTAAATGATATATACAGAACCTTCCATCCAAAAGCAGCAGAATACACGTTCTTCTCAAGTGTACACCGAACATTCCCTACAACACGTTAGGCCACAAAACAAGTCCCAAAAAATTAAAGAGAAATCATACCAAGCATCTTTTCCAACCACAATGGTAGAAAACTAGAAATCAATTACAGGAAGAAAACTGGAAAAACTACAAATATGTGGAGATTAAACATGTTACTGAACAACTATTGGGTCATAGAAGAAATCAAAGAAGAAATTTAAAAATACCTAGAGACAAGTGAAAATAAAAATATGATACACGAAAATCTACGGGAGGCAGCAAAAGTGACTCTCTAAGGGGAAAGTTCAGAGCAATAGAGGTCAACCTCAAGAAACAAGAGAAATCTCAAAAGAACAATTTCACTTTACACCAGAGGAACTAGAATAAGAATAAACGAAGCCCAAAGTTAGCAAAAGGAAGGGAATAATAAAGTTCAGAGTAAAAATAAATGAAATAGACAGGGCACCTGGGTGGCTCAGTCAGTTAAGAAGCCAACTCTTCATTTCGGCTCAGGACATGATTTCAGAGTGGTGAGACTGAGCACATCAGGCTCTGCATTCAGCAGAGAGTTGGAGCCTGCTTGAGATTCTCTTTCTCTCTCTCCCTCTGCCCCTCCCCCTGTTTGTGTGCTCTCTCTAAAACAAATAAATCTTTAAAAAAATATAATAAAAAAATAAAATACAGACTAAAAAGACAAATAGAAAAGATCAGTGAAACTCAGAGCTGGTTCTTTGAAAAGATAAACAAAATTGTTTGTTAGCTGAACAAACCTTCAGCTAAACTCACTGTGAAAAAAGGAGAACCCTCAAATAAATAAAATCAGAAATGAAAGCAGAGAAGTTACAATCGACACCACAGAAATACAAAAGAATCGTAAGAGACTATTATGAACAATTATATGCCAACAAATTGAAACTTCAAGAAGTGGAGAAATTCCAAAACTTACAACCTTCCAAGACTGAATCGCAAAGAAATAGAAAATCTCAATAGACCAATTACTAGTAAGGAGCCTGAAGCAGTAATCAAAAACCTCCCAAAAAACAAAAGTCCAGGACCAGAAGGCTTCACTCGTGAATTCTATCAAAATGTTCAAAGAAAATGTCATACCTATCCTTCTCAAACTCTTTCAAAAAACTGAAGAGGAGGAATGCTTCCAAACCTCCTTAAGAGGTACCCTGATACCAAAACCAGACAAGGACAGCTCCAAAAAAGAAAATTACTGGCCAATACCCCTGATGAACACAGATGCAAAAATCCTCAACAAAATATTAGCAAACCAAATTCAACAATACATTAAAAGGATCACACCATGATCAAGCAGGATTTATTCCAGGGGTGCAACGATGCTCCGACATCTGCAAGTCGGCCGATGTAATATACTGTGTGAGCAGAATGAAACCTTAAAAACCACATGATCATCTCAAAAGATGTCGGAAAAGCATCTGCCGAAATTCAACATCCACTTAGATAAAAACTCTCAACAAAGAGCGTATAGAGGGAACATACCTCAAGATTATAAAAACCCTATATGGCAAACCTACAGCTAACATCATACTCAATAGTGAAAAGCTAAAGCTTTTCTTCTAAAACCAGAAAAGAAAAGGATGCCCACTCTCTCCACTTTGACTCAACACGGTATCAGAAGTTCTAGCCACAGCAATTGGGCCAAAAGAAATAAAAGGCATTCTAATCAGAAAGAAGTAAAACACACTATTTGCAGATGATATGAACTATACAGAAAACCCTAAAGACTCCACTAAAAAAATTGCTAGAACTAATAAATGAATTCAGTAAAGTTGCAGGACACAAAATTCATATACAAAAAAAATCCGTTGCATGTCTATACACTAATAGCAAACTATCAAAAAGAGAAATTATGAAAACAATCCCATACAACTGCATCAAAAAGAATAAAATACCTAGGAATAAATTTAACCAAGAGGTGAAAAACCAGTATACTGAAAACCGTAAGACACTGATGAAAAAAACTGAAGATGACACAAAGAAATGGAAAGATATCCATGCTCGTGGAATAAAAGAATACTGTGAAAATGTCCACAGTACCCAAAGCAATGTACAGATTCTAAAGCAATCTACAGCGCAATCCGTATCAAAATTCCAATGCATTTTTCATAGAACTAGAACAAATACTTCTAAAATGTATATGGAACCATAAAAGACCCTCAAAGCCAAAACAATTCTGAGAAAAAAAAGAAAACTGGAGATATCACATGCCTGGATTTCAGACCATGCTACAAAGCTGTAGTCATCAAAATAGTATGGTATTGGCCTAAAAACAGACACACAGATCAATGGAAGAAAAGAGAGCCCAGAAATAAATCTATGCATATACAGTCAATTAATTTACAATAAGAGAGACAAGAATATGCACTGGGGAAAGGACGGTCTCTTCAATAAATGGTGCTGGGAAAACTGGACAGCCACATGAAAAAGAGTGAAACTGGATTGCTGTCTTCCACCAGACACAGAAACAAACTCAAAATGGATTAAAGACTTGAATATAAGAATGGAAACCATAAAACTCCCGAGAGAAAACATAGGCAGCAAGTTCCCTGATATCCATCTTAGTAATGTTTTTTTGGGGGGGATCTGATTCCAAAGACAAGGGAAACAAAAATGAAAATAAACAATTGAGACCACATCAAACTAAAAAGCTTCTGCACAGTAAAGAAAACAATCAACAAAACTAAAAGGCAGCCTACGGAATAGGAGAAGATATCTGCAAATCATACATCTGGTGCTCACTTCGGCGGCACATGTACTAAAAACAGAACGATACAGAGATCAGCAGGGCCCCTGCGCACGGATGACATGCAAATCATCTATCTGATAAGAGGCTTATATCCCAAATATATTAAGAACTCATGCAACTCAATAACAACAAAAAAATCCAATTAAGAAATGGACAGAAGATCTGAATGGATATTTTTCCAAAGAAGATACTCAACAGGCCCGTGAAAAGATGCTCAACATCACTCATCATCAGGGAAATCCAAATCGAACCCCAATGAGAGATCACCTGACACCTATCAGATTGGACGGTATCAAAACGACAAGAAACAACAAATGCTGGGGAGGATGTGGAGAAAAGGGAACCCTTGTGCACTGTTGGTGGGAATGCAAACTGGTGCAGCCACTACAGGAAACAGCAGGAAGGTTCCTCAAAAAATTAAAGACAGAAATACCATATGCCCCAGCAGTTCCACTACTGGGTATCTATCCAAAGAAAATAAAAACACTAATTCAAAAAAAATACATGTATCCCTATGTTCACTGCAGTGAACATTACTTACAATAGTCAATGAGGGTATGATGCTAAGTGAAATAAGTCAGAGAAAGACAAACGTCACATGATTTGACTTGCACGTAGAATTTAAAAAACAAAACAAACAAAACGAAACCCAGACTCACAGAAGAGAACAGACTGATAGCTGCCAGAGGGGAGGGGGCTTGGGGCTGGAAGTAATATGGGTGCAAATCAAGAAGCACAAACTGCCAGTAACAAAAGAGTAAGTCACTGGGATGTCATGTACATCATGGGGAATATAGTCAGTAATATGGTGTTAACTTTGTATGGGGACAGACGATAACTAGATTTATTGTGGCAATCATTTTGCAATGTACACAAATGTCAAACCACTATGTTGTACACTTGAAACTAGTATAATATTTTAAGGCAGTTATACCTCCATTTAAAGAAAAAAAAAAGATTGCACAGCTAAGTTACAAGCCTTGAAGAGACCTGTTCGGTTGCATTGGTCTCCATTTGGAATGCTTTTACTCTTTTTTTTTTTTTAATCTTGTGCTACTGTCATCCACACTCAACACCAGGTAATAAACTAAATTTTTTTTAAATCATCACATTATCATTAGAAAGGATCCTAGACTTTTTCTAAACTTCGTTCCGATCCTAACTCATCTGGTTCAATAGTAAGGTGGCTTCAGGTCCTCATTTGCGGCATGAGAAAACAATGCCCAATCAGCAGTGAGGGTCAAGTGAAAGTAACATCAGTAATACGAAAATGTTTCAGAAAAATGCAGTCCTTCTCCTGCTGTTTGCTCATTCTGACACATCCATCTGCCTCTGCCTAGTGAACTCTGACTCATGCTTCAAAAACCAGCTCAAGTGTCACCTTCTCGACGAAGCCATCCCTGAATCTCACAAGGACACCATTAATCCGTCCTCTGTCCGGCCAGATTTGTGTTCATACTTCTGTACAGCAGTTGATATTTCATATTTGTTAACAGGACTCCTCTATACTAAGACTTAGTATTGAACTAGAAAGAAAACCAGTAGGCACTACTCAGAGTTCTGAACCTGGAACAATATAAATAGGACCTGATACAATTCTCCAATTCCTGGGCTGCCTTCCATCCACCTATCTGTCCCTTCCGTCTGTAAGATTCCTAACAAATCAGAGACCAAATAAATTCTCTCGTGAATGGGCTACAGATGAATGCTGAAGACATAGAAAGAATTACAGGATAACAATAAAAAAAAAGTGAAACCACTGAGTGGGTCAAAAGTTAGAATTCATTGCATGTTTGCTTAAGGAACAGAAATATAAATTTTTGAAGCTGCATAAAAATATCATCCTTGGATTCTCACCAGTGAGGCAGGGAGTGGGAGAACATCCTCTAAAGATGTCCTCTGGGAACAGTCAAGCAGACTAAAGAGCAACATGACACTTGGGGCAATGCAGGGGGTTTCATCTACACATCTAGGGGTTCCAACCAGATCACAAATTAAGACTCAGCAAAGGGGGTGAGGAAAAGAGCAAGAGAATAAAAGGAGGAATGCTCAAAATATATGAGGAAAGACAAAAAAAATCGAAAGTAAACTAGATAAGGTTTGTCCTCAGAGACCCCTACGTTTTCCTATCCCCAGTTTTCCTGTTAAACATTTACTGCAGCCATCCTACACGGCAAGGACTCTGTTAAGCACTTGAGACATAAAGATGATGAAGAGATTGCTTTGGAAAAGCTCATAAGCTGTTAAGGGGTCAATCACAGTCCAGTTCAATACAGTTACTTTCTTAATTATCAGGCCCAGTCAACTGGATAACAAAGCACTCCAAATTAACAGCAGCTTTTAAGAAATCACACAACCACACTAACTCAACTGTAAGGCATGTCATGAAATTAGAAACATTAGAACATGAAAAAAAAATCATCAAATAACTGATAGAGTGGTAGAGCCCATGGCTGTGAGCATGCCCCTATACTAGACCCACTACTGACTGCACGCTGGGCAAGTCACAACCTCCGAGCATCTCTGTCCCCTTCTCATCAAAATGAGGACATGAACGGCAGGGCCTAGCTCAAGGTGTTGTTGCTGGAATTAAAAGAAGTCAGTCACATAAAGCACTTAAATCAGCAAACTCTCAATAAATGCCTATTACTATTATTTTTACGGCAAAGACTATAATAAAGTAAACAGAGTGCTCTGAGGACATCAACCTGGGCTAGTCAGAGAGGGAAAGTTCCCTGGAAAGGACCCTGGAGAGGATTCTTAAAAGCTAACAAGGTGTGTGTGTGTGTGAGTGAGTGTGTGTGTGTGAGTGTGTGTGTGTGTGTGTGTGTGAGTGTGCTGGGCGGGGACAGGCACAGCTTCCAGGACGGAAGGAGCCGGCAGAGCATGACTGTGTGTGAGAGTGTGTGTGTGTGTGTGTGGGTGTGCTGGGCGGGGACAGGCACAGCTTCCAGGACGGAAGGAGCCAGCAGAGCATGACTGTGTGTGAGTGTGTGTGTGAGTGTGTGTGTGTGTGTGTGTGTGTGTGAGTGTGTGTGTGTGAGTGTGTTGGGCGGGGACAGGCACAGCTTCCAGGACGGAAGGAGCCAGGAGCCGGCAGAGCATGACTCTGTGTGAGTGTGTGTGAGTGTGTGTGTTGGGGGGGTGGGGGCAGCAGGCACAGCTTTCAGGCAGGAAGATCAGTACATGTGTGGAAAAGGCACAGGTGACAACAGCATATACTCTTGGAGGTTCTGTTTCATTCACGGTACGTAATTAAAACATTTCTGACAAGAAAAATAGAATGTAAAAGCCATTTTTAAGATTTATTTATTTTAGAGAGAGAGCACGAACAGGAGGGAAAAAGAATCTCAAGCAGACTCCCTGCTGAGTGTGGAGCCTGACGCGGGGCTCAATTCCAGGACCCTGAGATCGGGACCTGAGCAGAAACCAAGAGTCGGACACTTAACTGACTGTGCCACCTAGCCGCCCCAAAGCCAGGTTAATTTTAAAGATAAAAATCTGAGCTTTAGAATTCCCACCTTATTCCAAGCTGGACTGCTTCTGTTTGCTCCATAAGCATGGAGATAAAACACTTTGCAAAGCCCTGCCCTAGGAACGTAAGCACTGTTTTTGCAGCATTACGACTGAGCCAAGCACAGCCTTAAATTGTGAGGGACGCACATACAGACAGACAGCCAACCGTGTGCCTGATCCAAGGGGCAGGAGCACTTGCCCAGACCCTCAAATTGACTCATTCAGGCAGGGGTCTTCTGACACCCTTAAGAAAAGCCTGAATGTACTTCCCAGAAATCCAACATCCCATGCGGGTGGTTCAGTGGAAATACGCAGGAGCGATTTTTGTAGCCACGAGAAAAGATCCCTCTAAAAGGAATGGGGTCAAGGAAAGAATGATCACTCACCAGAGGGGGTCTGCGTGAGACACACTGATGACAAATGCCTCTCCTGTCTGTCCAGAAAGAGTTCTCCCACTTTTATCAATAATTGTCCCTGAAATCTGAATTAACAAAGTAAACTCAGTCAACAATAGAGGCTCAAATTAAGAACATGGTCACAAACATGAAATAAAAACAGAAAACTGTTGTTTTACGAGGAAGGGGAGTGTGGAGCTCTCCCACAGGAAGCACTTTTCATCATGGTCGGAAAGGACACAGGCAAAGCGATGGTGGGGTTGAGTCAGGAAGCCATAAACACAGGAAACGGGCAAAGTCACTGAGGCAAACGCAATGACCAACAAAGCTTTAGAACTCACACATCCAGTCCCATCGCAGAAGGCCTTCCCAGAGACCTCAGGCTGTCCTGGCTACCTCCCCTGGTTCGTCTAACACCCCTTGATTTGATTCTAGTCTTTTCCCACCAAGCAATCTTGGGACTCTCCCAGGGGTCTACTCGTGCAGGCTGGCGTCATCCGGTCTGGGAAGTCCAGTCGGCATGCAAGCCCACCTCTCCCAGGGCCCCTATGAGAGGGAGTCCCGAAGCCTTTGACTTCAGGGGACCAATTCAGCCAGGCTTCTTTCAAACAGCCTGCCTTCCACCAACCACTTCTGGGTTCACCTCCTTCGCATTTCCAGAGCTGAGACAGCTCCTGGTCTACAGCTGCCGGGAGGAGGAAGGTGAACAGAGGAAGCTGAAGTGGGTGGTTCCTTAAAGATACTACAGCCAGTTCCTGGCAAGTCCAGGAAAACAAACACCCTACCCTCGAGCTGACAGTATTAGTAATAAAAGACAAAAATCATCATGCAAATTTTAGAACTTACGAAGATAGGCCGGGGGGGATACTCCTCTTCAAAAAGTGTTTGGAGTGCAAACAAGGCTGCCTGTCAGTGAGAAAAAGAACATCTTTATTTCTGAGAGACTGTGTCCCCAGTCAGTCTAACTGGCTGATGAGAATGCTCCCTTTTCCAAAACCTCTCTAGATGTGATCAACATTGCACACTCTGGGACAGAAACACATCCTCTCTGTAACGTACGATCCCGACACCCCTTTCCCGAGGAGAACACGGTACCTACTGAAACTAAACAGATGCCGGCTCAGAGTTTACCTAACAAACTAATATTTTCTCCAAAGAGGAGCTCAAGAGCTATGCTCTTTCTTCCTTCTCCCAGTCAAAATTAAAAATAGATGAATAAGAATGCCTCCACCATCCACATCCTCACAGATACACGGGAGATACAGAAATGAACAGCACACGCTGTTCACATGCAAATTAGAGTGAGCTGAGAACGGGCTGTGTAGGTAGTAATGCTAAGTAACTCAGTGCACGCCCGTGATGCATTAAGTTCCAGGGAACATCTTCTCCTTCTTTTGATCACTGTAGTTCCTGATTCCAAGACGTGCACATTTTCATAATCTGCGGAAGTCAGAATGCAACCCGTCCTTAATGTATTCCTTTCATGGGGATGGTGGGTTTCTTTCACATAGAAAGGTATTAAATCAACAATATGAGATTTTTTTTTTTTTTAAGAACTAGCCAAGTTGATCCTAAAGATCTTATGGAAAAGTAAATGAGGAAGAAGAACCAGGAAAATTCTGGGGGAAAAACGGACAGTGAAGGAGGTTAATGAAAGCCTACCAGTTATTCAAGAGGTATTTTAATCGCAATGCTACGGAAAATAGCAGGATAGGAGTGTGACATCAGACAGATGACTGGAATAGATTCTACCCAGATGCACTTCCGAATTTAGGGTGGTACACGATTCCTATCACTGGGAAATGGTAGGATATTTAATAGACGGTGTTATGAAAACTAGGTAAACCTTAGAGAAAAAGAGTACCTAGTTAGATCTCTACCACATTCCTCACTCCAAAATAAATTTGATGCGTCACGGGGACAATCTGTCCCTCAATAATCAAAAGAATGTTGGGGCGCCTGGGTGGCTCAGTTGTTAAGCGTCTGCCTTCGGCTCGGGTCATGATCCCGGGGGTCCTGGGATCAAGCCCCGCGTCAGGTGCTCTGCTCAGCGAGAGCCTGCTTCTCCCTCTCCCACTCCCCCTGTTTGTGTTCCCTCTCTCGCTGTGTCTCTCTGTCAAATAAATAAATAAAATACTTAAAAATAATAACAATAATCAAAAGAATGTTATGTTACACTTTCCTCTACCTGCGTAGCATCTCTATCAGGACCCCCACACCGGTAACAGCTGTCCCGGGAAAGACCTTGATGCCCAGGGAATAGGAGAAGGAAGGGTATTTACTTTTCACTCCATACATTTATGTTCACTTTAAATTTAGAACCACGTGTATATATTTACTACATCTGCATATGTGCACCTAATTAATAGCTATATGTGTATTTACTTTCATAATTTAAAAAAAATGCTTTTGAAAGTTAAAAAGATAATCTTTTGAGGTTTTCCTCATCCCACTGGCCTCAACTAGAAATGCTCAAAAATAGGACGGAACAGAAGATTTTTATCTAACTGTGACAATGGCTGTGACGGTCTTCTCGCCCCACTGGGGGACTCTCCACAGCCCCCACCCCGGCTGTCCCTTTCAAATCCCTTAACTCACCTTGGCATTAGCGGTATCAAAAATAGTTTCAATGAGTAAGATATCAACCCCACCATCCAGAAGCCCTTTGGCCTGCTCTTTGTATGCTTCAACGAGCTCATCAAATGCTGCAAAAAAAATAAATCGCATCCAGGACGTCAGTCATCAAAATCCTCTCAATGACCAGGACAAGCTATGTTCAGGCCTGGCACCTGTCAGCTAACTATTGCTGGTTTCTAATGCTTAATTTAAGGACAACATCACCTTTTGTGAGAAACCAAATAAAGAAATGGAGCAGTGATGTTGTTGAAACCTGTAGACTGAACACAGTCACTCCTACTAAACACTTACCACACAACCTCCTCATCCCACTTATGAGCCAAGAATGACTGAGTGAGCAGGAAGGTACATGGTTTCATGAGCCCTGTACCTTATTTTCAACACCTTTAAGGTACATCATTCTTCCCAGAAATGGCTTTAATCAGTCCAGTCAAGGGATGAGTGCGAGGAACAAGTAGAGAAACACATCACCCTGACTTGGAAAGATGGCAGGTCTAGTCACATTCTCTCATACTCGCTGTGGTAAAAGGCTTCAGTCCTGTGGACTTCACTCCTGCCTGAGAGAAAACCTGCCTTGAAGGGCAATTTTGGGCTGAAACCAAAGTGTCCAATAATTCCTGGGTACAGTTTTTGTTAGAAACATCTTGAGTTGTCCATTTCCATTTGAGAGGTCATCCCTCTCCCCATTTACCTCCCAATGAGAAAAAGACAAAGGCTTGGATATCCAACAGGAAAACCCAAGTAGTACCTTTATGCTTGCTGTATACAGCACAAGAGAAAGGAAAACTTAGCCCCTCGTGGTCATGCCTAGATCAAAGAGGGCATCGACCACGCATAAGCCCAGCATGAGCAACCCCTGGTGAAGAACTATGATATCACCACATGGAAAGTTCTATAACCAAAAACCTACGAACCATACTTGCCTGAACTTGTCATCTACACAAAATTCTTCACCATACAAAGTATCAGTACTATTCAGCTAAGTTTAATTCTTTTTGTATTTCATTGTCCTGATGCTTAAGAAATTGACCTAGATAGCTAGATTTTTTTCATAAAATCTCAATGTAAGTATGTTTATATACGTTAGTTTATAATGTCAAAAATGCTAGTATGTTTATATAGTCTGGAGTGTTTTCTGACATAAAATGGGGGCCCAGTGGGTTATTCCATAATAGACCAAGGCCTAGTGTCCATATTTGCTCAACTTCTCAGTTTAAAGCTTTCTCTTGATTAGTTTTCTTTCCTCAGCTGATAAAGAAGCATGATCACAATACCATGTACATTTGAAATAATAATAGTAGTAATAATAACAAGATCTTTTTATTTAGATATTTACTACATTCCAGGGACCGTTATAAGCCCTTTATGTCCATTAAGTCACAATAACCCTGAGGAAGAGCCTGTTATTGATCCCATTTTACAGATTTTAAGATCACTGAAACACAGATGTACTTGCAGGAGGTCAAAGATTATTTATAATACTCACTAATGTTCCTGTAATCTGGTCTCTCCACAGACGGGGACACAGACAGTGTCTTATTAGTTGGACCCAGAGCTCCTGCCACAAACCTCTTAATTCCTTTGGGAAAAGAAAAACAAATGTAAAAATCTCTAAAGAGCTTGACCTTTTTGTTGTGACTCAATAGGCTATAAGATTTTCCCCTAGAACATAGGTCTATAATCCTTTATCCACAACTCGGAAATACAAAAGCACAGATTATTTTCTTAATTCATTTGACAGGAAAACTTGACTTCTGGACCAACAAGAGGCTCTTTATAGTCTTTATCACACTCAGTGAGACAATGCACAGATTTGACTGCAAATGTGTATCTGAGGATGGGAGCTATCCCGGACCCCACTGGGAAAATTATGAAATACAGGGATGTGTACAGCTGATTGCCAAGCCAATCCAAAAGACTCCGAATTCTTGCCTATCGGGCTTCAAAGTGTGTCAGTAACTAACTCTTTTTTATCTCCACAGCCATGTTTAGATAAATTACCTCCCCTTACTCTTAAGGAATCTGGAAGGTCCTGAACCTAACACAGATTCTACAAAAGCTCCTCACAGAAGTGTTCAACTTGAAATGCTCTCCAGTATCGTGCTACAGACCCTTCACTGGGGGGGAGACTATTAGATCAGGATTAACAATTATAAAGCCCAAAATTAAAATATGAAACAGATCAAATCTTACTGTAAGCACTCTTTTAATAATTCTTTAATAACCTTTCCTCCAGGCTAGAGTCCACGTGCTTCTAAAAGAGCCTCAAAAGTTAGGTCCATCTACATGTCATAACTGAAGCTGGGGGTACACGGCTCATCACCTTTGGTGATGGTAACCACTCACTAACCTGGGTTACACTTTACAATTTAAGTGGTGAAGACTACCGACGAGTTGATAACCCAGCCTTTGAACAGGTTACTTTGCCCAAAGCTGAACAATAATGTGCGTATAAGAAAAATGTCCTCATCTTTCCCTGCTTTCGCTGGTTTCATATTCTCTGACCCCCGACTCTGTTGGGGTAACAGTCTATACACATCCGTGGATTTAAACACTAACTCCCAGAAGCGGAGTTCCCATAAATTGCTTCGGTCTTTCTTCATTAGTATGCTGTGTCTCACTTCCTAGCAATTTTGCTTTATATTTTCCCCTGTTGGCAATAATTTTACATTTCCAAATCTTAAGGGGCTCCATATATTTCTTCTATTCCTTTCCCTCCCTCAGAGCCTCCCCACCAGCTGGCGCCCAAGTCATGCTATGGCAGCCAGCCAGGAGGGTAGTTATTTCAAGAGGCCGCTTTTCATGTTCCAGCAAGCCTGAGTCTCATGCCACACTCCTGTGTGTGCTGCACAGAGCCTTCAAGGACATTAGGGATAGGATGCAGAATATGCTCAAAAGGCAATGCCTCTTCACCTACAGAAGCCAATCACAAGGATGATGGTAGCTTCAAAGATATTTGAGAAGATCAAATATCTTCATGTTAATCGAAATAACCAGAGCAGGCAACTGCCACCTGCATTACCTATTAATGTGCTTCCAAAAGGAGAAAAATCACCTTAGCTGTAAACATGCGAAGAAGCTGTAACTATGAAACAAAAAAGTAGCTATGGCTACAAAGTGAAGCTGGAGCCCGCAGTAGAGGAAACCCCGAGCCCAAAACCCAGGGGGACAGAATCAATTCAGAGAGACCCGGGAGGGCTTGATTATGAAACTGCAAAGAAGTCACCTACCCACAGGTACAAAACAGTATCTGCAGTGTTGCTGGTGGGCCACTTGTCACGGAAGGGCAAAGTGCAATAAGGACAGCATATGATGGCTGCGACTCTCAAAGGAGCCACCCTTGCAGCCGTCCCTTACCTGTCTGGAGAGACACATCCTCGGCTGCCTTTCTGGCCACCCCCGCAGAGCACTTGTTCATCTGGTAGGCCTACACATCAATGCAAACGTTAGCTAGCACTTCTCTCCCTCCACCCAATAAATCAGGGATTCGTGACCTTATAAAACCCAGTTTTATTCAGTAAGGAAATGTCGAGTGAATTAATAGGAGGTCTGAGCGAAATCTTAGCCGAGAAGGAAGCAGGTGAGCCAAGGGTCCTTCAGAACCGCTCTGAGCTTCTTCCCCTTAGCCATGAGCTAACTGATAGAAAAAGGGCAATCTCTTGGACATCTGGTATGTCAAAGAGTAAGGTGATGCAGTTAAATCCTCTGCGAATCAGAGAAAGCATAGGAATGGAAAAAGCACAGGCTTCAGAGACAGGAGGCGGGGGGTTGAGGACCAGCTCTCTCAGTGCCTGCCTAGGCAGTCCCCTTAGCAACTTCTCCGGGCCCTGACTTCCTTCTCTGTACAGTGGTTGTACTCAGGGGTTCTCAACTTTTTGCAGATTATTAACCTCTTTAAAATTTGGTAAAGGGCCATGAACCCCCTCACTAGGAAATAAAAAGTATGCACATACACACAAAATAATGCCTACAATTTAAAGAGGTTCATAGGCCTCCTGAAACCCTTTCCCAGAACAGGTTAGAAGGTGCTAGACTTGTGGTCTTCATGAGCCCTTCTCAGATCCTATGCGCCATGGTAATTAAGAAACCAGACAGAATATCCTAAAATAGGGGTTGGCAAACTCTATAGGTCCCAGGGCAAATCTAGCCTAGGCCAGTTTTATAAATAAAGTTTTATTGGGATACAATCAAGCTCATTCATTTGCATATTGTTTACTGTTGCTCTTGTACTATAATAACAGAGTTGAGTGGTTGCTATATATGGCCCACAAAGCCTAAAATATTCACTTATCTGGCCCTTTACAGAAAAAGTTTGCCAACTCCTGCCCTAAATCACACAAAACTAATCATTTTCCCTTGATAACCCAAAAGATGCGAGATCTCACAAAGTCCCAACATCATGAGAGAAATCAGTGTTGCATGAAAACAGAGGCATGCGTCTGGAAAAATCCCACACAGACATGGGTACGGCAGCATCTACTATGTACTCCCATCATCCACATTTTACAAAATTTGAAAAAGGAGCATCATATTGATTAAAAAGAAACCAGATCCTTCAACCCACACCCACTAGGATGGCTACTATCAAAAAAAAAAAAAAAAAACGAAACGAAAAAACAGAGGATAACAAGTGTCAATAAAGCTGTACAAAACTTGGAATCCTTGCATACTGCTGGTGGGAATATAAAATGGTGCAGCCAGTGTGGAAAACAGTATGGTGGTTTCTCAAAAAAGGCAACAGAATTACCACTTCTGAGTATATAATCAAAGGAAATGAAAGCAGGGATGTGAACAGATTTTCTGTACACCCATGTTCACAGCAGCACTGTTCACAATCACCAAAAGGTGGAATCAACCCAAGTCTCCCTAACAAATGAATGGATAAACAAAATGTAATACACACACACACACACACACACACAGAGGCCTATATATACATACATACAGGGGAGCATTATGCAGCCTTAAAAAGGAAATTCTGACATTTGCTACAACACGAGTGAACTTTGAAAACGTTAAGCTAAGAGTCATAAAAGGACAAAAACTGTACGAGTCCATTTACATGGGGTACCTAGAGGAGTCAAATTCATAGAGAAAGACAGTATGGGGTGGTTTCTGGGGCCCAGGGGAGTGAGGGGAGGACGGGGAGTTACTGAATGTAATGGGTACAGAGCTTCAGTTTTACAAGATAACAAGAGTTCTGGAGATGGATGGTGGTGCTGGTTGCACAGCAACATGAATATATTTAATCCCACTGAACCGTACACTTAAAAATGGCTAAGATGGTCAATTTTATGTTACACGTGTTTTGTCACAATTAAAAAAAAAAAAACCTGCCACCCAGGGCATAAAACAGGTGCACACACAGCTGATCATTGTGTTTTTATCAGCAACCACTGCTTAATAAGTATCATTTTTACCTGATCACTTGCCCATAAAAGAAACCAGTTAGAAATGAATGGTCTGCTGTGTTCATAAGCAGAGAGATTCAAAGCGTCTTCCCAGTCTGACCACAAGCAGTAGACAGCTAGGCACCGGCTTGACACTGCAGCGTCTGATGGTTTTCTCACTAGCAACTATCAAGGCAGTAAATGCCCAGAAACATCTTAGTTTGAGGAACAATGGCATTCTTACCAAGTGTTCAAGGCCATAGTCGCCCTGGGCAATGTGAGTGCTGCTGAAAGTATTTGTTTCGATGATATCTGCCCCAGCCAGCAAGTAATCCTGCAACGAGATAGCAGTGTCAGTGCTCGGAGTTTCAGAGCCCCTGTACCCCGGCAATAAACACATCTGTTCATCCCCACCAAACACCTCGTGACTGCTAAGCACAGGCACTGCACTAGAGGCCAGCGACGCAAAAAGATCCGAGGATTTCACAGAGAGGAATGTGGTATAAATAAACAAATGCAGAGCTTGAATTCGGACACAGTCCACATGCTAAGCTGGGTGAATGGAATCAAGTTCCTTAAACCCTGAGTTTCAGTTTCCTCATGGAAAGTACTAGAGCCCAGCTCCATGGCGTGGCTGTGTGATGACACAAGTTCTGACCCAGGATGGCGCTCTCCAGCCTCAGCACAATTTGATCCCCACTGGCGACGGCTCTATCTCTGAGAGCCCAGTTCTGCCCGTAATTGTTTCAGTCTCTCTCTGCGGGTCCCTCTGAGCCAGATCTGCACTCCTTCTAGAACCTGAGGATCTTGGTGACTTCCTGTCCTCCCTGTTCGAAACCCACCTTCCTCATTTCACTCTCTGGACGATACCTCCTCAACCTCAACGTCATGAACACTCTGGAATCTCTCGACTCCCTTGATTTTCCAATAGTGACTAAACCCAACCCCTCCCAAACTGATGAACACTGCTTACAGAATAGCTGGGAAATGAAAACCAAGATTTACACATATTTATAATAAGTCACAAACATCCTAAATATCCACCAACTGGAAAAAACTAAGCTAGAATGTATCCATTTTATAACATGCTTTATGGCAGCTAAAAACATTGTGCATAGTTACATATACTGACATGCAAAGATCTCCAAAAATATTGAGGAGAAACCAAAATTGATTGATATGTAAAACAGGACACCATTAAGTGTAAAGCATACATGTACACAACAGCATGAGTTTTCTACAGGTAAGTATGTATACACATATACATATGTACATATATATATAAACACATAACAAACAAATCTGGAAAGACATACAGCAACTAATGTTAAGTGGTTATCTCAGGAGAAAAAATAGAAATTTGGAGTAGTGGTCAAAAGTGAATTTATTCTCTGGGGCGCCTGGGTGGCTTAGTCCTTAAGCGTCTGCCTTCGGCTCGGGTCGTGATCCCAGGGTCCTGGGATCGAGCCCCACATCGGGCTCCCTGCTCTGCAGGGAAGTCTGCTTCTCCCTCTCCCGCTCCCCCTACTTGTGTTCCCTCTCTCGCTGTGTCTCTCTCTGTCAAATAAATAAATAAAATCTTTTAAAAAATAAATAAATAAATAAGTGAATTTATTCTCATCTGTGGGTTTTGTTTTATGAGAGCAAATTTTTAGAAAAATTGGAAACAACATTAATGCCTAGGAATAAGTGAATTAGTTATCAATAATATATACATAGAATATATTATGAAGTTATTAAACCATGTTTCAGAATATTTAATGCTCATATATACAGATAAAATGCAAATTATAAAACAGTATAAACGAATATAATTAAAATTTAATTTTTAAAATCCCAGTATAAACACTAGATTAAAATGTAAGTTAAAATGTGAATGAATAGCAGTTATGTCTTGGTATTGATATGTCCTGGTTTTGATTTTCTCTTTTATGGTTTTCTCTTTTTTTTTTTTTAAGATTTTATTTATTTGTCAGAGAGAGAGAGAGAGCACAAGCAGGGGGAGCAGCAGGGCAGAGGGAGAGGGAGAAGCAGGCTCCCCGCTCAGCAGGGAGCCCGATGTGGGGCTCGATCCCAGGACTCTGAGATCATGACCTGAGCCAAAGGCAGACGCTTAACCATCTGGGCCACCCAGGCGCCCCTCTTTTATGGTTTTCTATATTATCTACTTTTTTTTAAAGCAATAAACATGTATTGTCTTTACAATTAGGGAAAAAAATTTCAAAGTTCACAGTTTTCTCCAATTTTGTGTAGATTTGAAAATTTCCATACTATACAGTTTATTTTTTTTATTTTTATTTTTTTTTTCATACTATACAGTTTAGAAGGGATTTCTCCTAGCTCTTCATCCTCTCTCTCTGTCTTTTCTCCTGGCTCAATATCCCACTCGTGGACTCCAGGCAGGACGTCCCTCTATTCCAAACCTATTCCAAACCTATTCTTGTCGATTTCCAAACCTATTCTTGCCAGTTTAAGAAACGTGTGATCTGAGGCAAGCTACTCAATTTCTCTACTCCTCACTTTTCTCATGGAGAAAGCTGTCAGGAGTAGAGGAGGACATGAAGGACAGCATTTGCAGAGGCTAACAGAGGTTTTGACTTCTGTTTCATGAGAGAGATGCTATAGGCTAGGAACGCCTGAGGTGCTCACGCGCACTCCTTGCGGACAGCTCCCACACCCATTTCCCTGGGCAGAGCCCAAGGTGTGGTGACACCAGCCCTTGCAGTATCTCAGCAACAACTGTGGGAACTTTTGGGAGAAAAAGGTGTATTACTCATAAGTCCTGGTGGGTTCAGGCATGCCCAGGGCCATGCTTCAAAGGGTGAGGGGCAGATGGGCGGCAGGGGCCTGAGCACAGACATGGGGTTCTGCCTTTTTGGGGGGTACAAGGATGGGGCACCTAGGGTTTCACAGTTTCACTCTTTACTGCTAAATTTGGGAATCAGGGTGTGGAAAGGGAAAAATGAGAACAGTCAGTTGTCTGGGTCATCCGGGGCTCTCCAGGAGCAGAACTCATGGGTGGGAGCAGCCTGGTATCTAGTTGTTCAGCGAGTAGCAACATCATGTTTAATACAAGAGAGATGTCTCTGAAATGGATATCTTGGCAACCAGAAGCCTAATGTCAGGCATTTACATTACCACCAAAGCAGCTTACTGTCAGGCACCTACATTACAAATATAACTTGGACATTCCATTAAAATTAAACACCAAGGGATCTGATCTGTGGTCACTAGCTCTACTAGAAATAGCCACGTGTGAAAAAAACACAGTCTGTTTTCCTTCTTCATCCATGAACACAACATGCTCTCCACATCTCCGGCTAGTAAATGCGCCCCCAGAAATGGGACACCCAGGTATACTTTGTTGTATTTACAGCCATTTTTGTTCCATGTACCTATCGTGGGAACCTCATGGTTCCATCTAGATGCCTACCTAATACACAGGGCAAGGATTCTTTCCTCTAACAAGTATTTATTGAGCACTCCTATATGGGAGAAATGTTCTAGGCAGTAGGGATTCGGTAGTGAAAAAGAGGCATAAATTCTTGCCCTGCAGAAACTTATAATCTAGCGATAATACACATGAACAATAATGACAAAGCCATGGGCATGACAGTTCATGTGATTTCATCAGCTACACTGTAAGAAGTGTATTTGTGGGGCACCCGGGTGGCTCAGTCATTAAGCATCTGCCTTTGGCCCAGGCCATGATCCCAGGTTCCTCGGATCAAGCTCTGCGTCAGGCTCCTTGCTCAGCGGGGAGCCTGCTTCTCCCTCTCCTTCTGCCTCTGCCTGCCACTCCCCATTTGTGCTCTCTCTAATAAATAAAATTTTTTTTTATAAAAAAAGTGTATTTGTAACCATACGAAGCAATTCATACCCATGATGACATTCCCAATCTATAAAAGACTAGGATTTTTTTTTTTTTTTTAAAGATTTTATTTATTTATTTGAGAGAGAGACAGCGAGAGAGGGAACACAAGCACGGGGAGTGGGAGAGGGAGAAGCAGGCTTCCCGCCGAGCAGGAAGCCCGACGCGGAGCTCGATCCCAGGACCCCGGGACCACGACCCGAGCCGAAGGCAGACGCCCAATGGCTGAGCCACCCAGGCGCCCCAAGACTAGGATTTTATAATAGGATTTAACTACATATTCTCAAGGCCTAGCAGAAACAATTACCATTCTTCTGGCAGAACCACACCTTTTCAAGGACCAATTTTCAATCTTCTAGGACCTAGAATTCCCATTATGAGCAAAGGAAAGGCATTCTCAGCTTTTCTTCAAATGAACGCCATTCTGCATGTAACCTAGAACAAAGTCTTGACCACGCAAGAGAATGATCCCTTCCATTCTCGATGGATCATTTAATCACAAAGTGATTTGTTTAAATGACATTTTTTTTTCCCTAAGAAGAGCCTGAAAACACCTACAGCAATGCCCTTCTCCAGAAAATGAAACCTTCTCACTTCACTGGTAAATACACTTTGTCCTTCTAACTGAATCCAGACCAGGAAAACAGATTCAATCACCTCAGTATCTCTTCTGGTTGTAACTCTATGAAATTCTGATGATAACCTATCAAACAATTTCGTTCTGTGTTTATTTCTGAATTTTTAAAAATCTACCGCCCCCAGTTCCTCATTTCTTTATGCTGGCTAACCATTTTTATTGGAGACAGAAAAATGGAATGAAAGAAGGTAGGATTTCAAGTCAGGAAGCCTCCCTAACATCAGGCTCTGGGAGCCTCAACTTCCAAATCTTCAAAATGAGAATAACCACCATCTTTTGGTTTTTCTTTATCGGGGCTATTGTGGTGACTTAGGTAAAGTAGTGTATGTGAAAAGCCCAATTTGCCCAAGATTTTTATGGTCTTTCACTGGAGTTTAACTGTCTCGAAGGCAGAAAAACTACCTTTCTCATCTCCTTATCCTGAATGCTCGCTCAGTGCAAGACCTTTATTTGGTGCCCAACACCTTCTTTGTGAACAAATCACTTCTTCTGTACCTTCTAGAGCCCTCGATTTGCGGAGCGGTTTATAGAATAATGGACTGAGAACAGGAGACACAGCGGATACTATACCTTATGGATTTGGTAAATGACATTGGGTTGAGTTATACTTAAAATGTCATTGTTGCCTTTCAGCGGCCTGGTGTGATCTTGAAATTCGTGACCTCGGAAGTCTTCTTCACTTAGCTTATGCCGCTGGATCATGGTCCCCATCCCTCCATCCAGCACCATGATCCTCTCCCGCAGAATGGTTTCAATCTCATCCTGCAGACTTTTCTTCACACCTGCTTCAAAGAAAGTGAAAATCTGACTTTCAAAACCAGGGGGAAAAGATGTGTGGGAAAGGTTTCTAAGAACTACTGGAAAGCCACAGAAACTATGCTGATTGGAGTCCCTGAAAATTCCTAACATGGAGCCTCCTCCTTGGTCAGCTTTTCTTGGCTACCCTCAACACAGCCCACATCTACTGTCCCAAACTGCACTCTTTTAGCTCCAAATCCTTCTCCCTCTGTAGGAGATTCTACCTAATCCTATCCAAAGTCTTCTACTGGGAGCTCCAAAATTCACCCCACCCTCCACCTCATAATCCTCTTACAGCTTGGCTTAAGCTACTTTCCTTCTCTCTGCACTTAGGGAAGAGCACATCTCTACCCACTGCAGGTCTGTCTGTACCCACTGCAGGTCTGATGGTGAAAAGCATGCCTCTATTCCTCCTCCCATTTTCATAAAAAATCTAAGCACTTTCCCATGGGGTCCCTACTGTATTCACTTCTCAATCCAGAAATATAAACTATTTTCAGTCTTTAAGACAGTTTAGTATTTACCATAAAACAACCTCGCCCCCACATATACAAGTTCTGAGATCTTGTGAAAGGAGTTATATGCAAGAAATCAAAGCTTTTCTTTTTAAACTCTAAACAAAATATCTGATTTTTTTTTTTAAAGATTTTATTTATTTATTTGGCAGAGAGATAGAGAAAACAAGCAGGCAGAGAGGCAGGCAGAGGGAGAGGAAGAAGCAGGCTCCCCGCCAAGCAGGGAGCCCGATGCGGGGCTTGATCCCAGGACCCCGGGGCCATGACCCGAGCTGAAGGCAGATGCTTAACCAACTGAGCCACCCAGGCGCCCCCAAAACATCTGATTTTTTACTAGAAATTTGACAAACATATTCTATAATTTATGTGGAAGACTAAAAGTCCAGAAAAGGCTAAATTAACTTTGAAAAAGTAGAAAGAGGTTATTTGACCCACTAAATATTACAACATACCATAAAACTATATTCCCACGAAAAAGGAAAAATAAAATATAGAATATCTTCATTACTTAGAATAGGGAAAGACTAAGTCTCAAAAAGCCCAACCTATAATATTTTAAAAAAAAAAGATGAATTTGATTCCATAAAAACTAAGGATTCCTATGAAATGAAAGTTACCATAAACAAAAATAATAGATTATGGATTGGGGGAAGATTTTGCAATATCTAAAACTCAAAGGGACTAACAGCTGTAATGTACAAGGAACTCCTTGTACATTAGTCAAGTCAAGGAAGAAGAAAATAATACCCAGCAACTATATGAAGAGATGCTCAAACTCATTAGCGAAGATGTGAATTAAAACAAGATGATACCCATTTGTACCCAGTAGTTGGACAATAATTAGAAAACTGGATAATGCCAAAGAAAATCTGAACCCTCCAGGATGCTTGCTGGACAGCCATTCTGGAGAGCAGCCTAGCAGAACTTGGTAAAAATTAAGTATGCGGAAAACCCAGCAATCTCAATCCCAGGTGTATTTCCCAAACAAAATCTCAGGTTGATCCGTCAGGAACACCGAAGAGGATGTTTGTAGGAGTGGTACGTTGGAGACAATGTTGGGAAATGGCCAAGTAAAATGTGGTGGATACTCCTGGGGAACACTGCACTGCTATACGATAACGATGGAATACTGAGCGAAAGGGTCGGAAATCGTCAACTTACCAAGGTACTATTTACATAAATTAAAAATACATACACAGAATAGAGTACAAGGAAACGTATGAATACACGGCAATATGGGAAACAGGCCACCTGTGGGAGCAAGAGAACTGTGAGCAGAAAATGAGATTAAATGGGATACATAATAAAATGGGAATTGCATGCATTGGATACAAAACTCCCCTCCAACTGAGGCCCTTAAAAATCCCCTGCTTCTACATCATCCACATGCTTATTTATCCTTTAGGGGATAAGATTTCCCTTCTAGAGAAACTAAGAGGTCTGCCTGCCGGATTTGTTGGTTTAAGTGTTCACTGGTCTTATCCTGATGTATTCCCCAAGCTTTTCCAGTAGGGGGTTATCACTCACTGGCTTCTAATCACTGCTGCCTCTCCAGAACCTTCTCATTAGGGTAAGCCACCTTAGCAATTCTCCTTTCCCTCGGTGAGCAGTCACTGAGATCTTCCATGAAGAACAATGATAACCTAAACACCCTCATATTCATCTATATTCGGTTCATTACGTACGGAACATTCTGTACAGTTTACTCCTGACTAATCAGGTTCTTAGCAGAGCAGATTCTCCCCAACATCTCTCACAGCGAAAACAAAAATATACAGCTCTGCATTTCCCCCATTTAGCCAAGGCATTCTGCTGCTGATGAATTTAGATGAAAGGAGAATCACGTATTTCCTTTTTTAATTAAATGGAAAGGCAAGAAGTCATGAGGCAGAGATATTATTCAAAGAACTATATGATCCGCCTCTCTACCTCTTCTTTTATAGCAACAGTGATAAAATGTTTCAGTCACCTTTCCACTGGTTTCAAGAACAATTTTACCAGTCCCATATCAGAATCCTAGAATCAACAGGGTCACTAGCTCACCTCTGATAAATTTCCTTCTGAGTTATGAATTCCATATTCACCACCCTGCCAAGCGGAACGCCCTCATTCCCCCACAGCCAGCTATGCTCTGTCTGCTTAGGAGTGGTTCTCTTCTTGCTACATTTCCTACCTCATACCTCACATGTTTTTATGGGTATTTGACCACAGCTTTTAACCAGGGATGACCTTAGAGGCCCAGATCCCATCATAAAGTTGAAATTATTGTCAGTTCTTGAGCCAAACTCGTTTTTTTCTCATTAATCTCAGAGCCATCCACATCAGAATCACTTGAGATTGCTACTCCCCATCACAACTCACTGCTCATTTTACACAGTGATTCTATGCCACTGGAGTTTGCAGAACGACTGCTCTAACCCTGATGTGGAAAAGAAACGTTTACTGTAAGTTTTAAATAGTTCTCTGGGTTTCCTTATCTGTCCCTCAACACGTGAACTTTTTTTGTATGAGCACAGCAGGTGCTCAATAAATATGTATTGAATTGAGAACGTTAACTCGGGGAAAACTTCCATTGCGCCCCGCTGGAATACGTTGCACCGAACTGCAAAGTTACTTTGACATTAAGATGTGTTTCGGGCGCGCGGGGAGAGAGCGGTGCCTCGTGGCTGCTGAGGGTCTGTCTGGGGAGGAAGTGGTGCAGGTGGGGAAGGAATCCAGCAGAACAACGTGGAACCTCCCGGCTCCTCCGCCAGTTCAAAGGTGCCGCCCTCCCGCCCGCGGGGAAGCCTGGCGCGCGTCTCCAGGTGGCGAGGAAAATTACCCCAGGGATTAGGAGCCCACAACAGGAGTCAATAAACAACCCAGGCGCGGAGAGCAAGCGGCAGCGTTACCGGAAGGCGTCAGCTCTGGCAGCGCGGGTGACATGCCGCCGAGTCTCCTCCTCCGCAGGCCAGGGGCGAAGCCGGGAAGTCGCACTCTGCACAGGAGGACAGGGCCAAGAGTGACGCCAGCCAGTACCGGCCTCCGCGGCCCAGGTCGCTGCTCCGGAGCCCGCGGCGCCCGAGGCCTTCCGCACACCGTACGCGGCGCGGGGGACCTCCCGCTGGACCTGGGCGCGGCGTGGGGATGACAGGCGCGCCCTCGGCCGCTACAATGCTCGAGCACGTGCTTTCTTCCCGGTCACCCGGCCTGTCCTCGGCGCGGAGCTGGCGGCCACACACGCGCGACCCGAAGTCGGGTCGCGGGAAAGGCGCAGACTGGACCCGAAGAGTAAGACGACGTGGCGCCCGGGGCGCAGAACCGAGGATCGCAGCCCCCAGTGCTTTGGGACACCTTACAACGTTAGTTTCTCCGCTCGATCTAGCCTCTGCGTGGGAGGTCCTGCCTCTTCCGGCCTATGATTGGTCTGTACGAGGACGTCGCGGGTATTGGCGGATCCCATTTTAACCAATTACCGGAGGGTTTGCCCCAGGGCTCTCTGGGAGATGTAGTCCAAGGTCCCACGCAGACAGTGTTGGGGGAGCCCAAAACTGTAAGTCCTGCGGAGGCTGGACGCATCTCCAAGCCCGATATCCGGAAGTGCGGCCCGCGTGGCCTCTCCCAGTTTAAGTCGTGGTGCGAAGTGGGCGCTGGTTTCAACCTGTTGTGGTGTCCAGAGCGGGGAATTTGGAGTCAAGACCAGTTCTAGTCACGTTTTGCTACAGACTGGTGCGGGGCAAGATAATTAACCTCTGAGTCTCACCACTCTACAAGCAGGAAATGATAGGGTGGCAGTAACTGCTATTTTATAAGATTGTAGCAGGGAGAAAATGAGATCCTGCGAACGCTCTATGAAAACTCTGAAGTACGTATGTACGTGTTGTCACTTATTGACAGTATAACTATGTATCATGCATTGGGCTACGCACTTGGAATGCAAAGAAAGACAAGCTACATCTCACCCCCGGGGGCCTCTGTCTTGGAGAAAGAACTCACAAACTAGTTAAAACTAACAATTGAACAGGAAAAAAATGAGAACCACATACAGTGTGCCAAAAGAGCTGCATTAGGGGCGCCTGGGTGGCTTAGTCTGCCTTCAGCTCCGGTCATGATCCCAGGATCCTGAGATTGAGCCCCGCAATGGGCTCCTTGTTCGGTGGGGAGCCTGCTTCTCCCTCTCTCACTCCCCTTGGTTGTGTTCCCTCTCTCGCTGTCTCTCTCTCTCTGTCAAATAAATAAAAATCTTTAAAAAAAAGAGCTGCATTACTCTAAGGGTTTTGGGGGAAAGCTTCAGGAAGTAACTGGGACTTGAAGAGCTCTCCAAGGGAAAGAAACTCCCTGAGTAGAACACAGCACTTGAAAGAATTTGAAAATAAAGGACAGCTCTGTAAGGATGAGCATGGTAGAGGGGAGGAAAGCAAACGAATCTAGAAAAATAAAATTGAGACCAAATTGCGAAGTTTACTAATCTTTTTATTTTAAAGTACAAATTTGCATGCCATTCTCATTTTACTGTAATTATACCTCAATTTTTTATATCTAAAATAGTATAATAATAATGTGTATAGCATCTTTGCCAAAGATGGTCATACTTGGAGATGGAAAAACCGGAGTGGGGGAGAATGGAACAAAGAAGAAGAGTGTGGGAGGGATAGGATGGCCCTAAAGAGCTGAGGATCTTGTTAAGATTGTAAGGTTTTAAATTATCACCTATTTCACTGTTTGTTGAGGTGTCCCTTGGGGGAAAAAAATCTTTTGGGTACCTAGTTACTTAGTATCCTCTATCTTAGCGGAAATTGCAGGAATTGTGGATCAGACTCTGTTTAACAAGCCATCAGATATTTGCTTTGTCAGCTAAAACTGACCAGACCTAGGGTTTTCTTGGTCTTTTTTTTTTTTTTTAAGATTTTATCTATTTGAGAAATTGAGAATGAGAGAGAGAACACATGAGAGGGGGAAGGGTCAGAGGGAGAAGCAGACTCCCTGATAAGCAGGGAGGCCGATGTGGGACTCGATCCTGGGACTCCAGGACCATGACCTGAGCTGAAGGCAGTCGCTTAACCGAGGGAGCCACCCAGGTGCCCCCAGGGTTTTCTTAGTCTTAAAAGAGTAGCAAATAAGACTAAAGGGGGGGGGTGAATTCCTAGTACAAAAACTTGCACAACTTAAAGAAAAGTTCCAAGAATACTGTTATGGGTTGAAATGTGTCCCCCAACAGATGCAACTGAAGGCCTATACCCTAGGACTTCAGAATGGAACTTACTTGGAAATAGAGTTGGTGCACATGTAACTAGTTAAGATGAGGTCCAAGGAGAATGGACCCTTAGTCCAACATGGGAAAGAGATTCACAAGGAAAAAACAGCCATGTGACAGCAAAAACAGAGGTGAGCATGGCCCTGCTGACACCTTGGTTTTAGACCTGTAGTTTCCAGAACTGTGACACAGTACATTTCTGATGTTTTAGGCCACCCAACTTGAGGTACTTCCATTACACTAGGCCTAGGAAACTAATACAAAGACATCTATAGATGAGGTAGGACCACTGAGACAAAGCCTCAATTTCTCTATTTCTGTAGTAAAGCATCTATTATCTTATTTTGAAGAAAATCTGCTAGCCCAACCCCCACCCTCATCTTCAGCCTCTCATTAGGCTCATCCATCATACATCCAGTTTGTAGAGGTAAAACTCCAAAAACCCCTCGTTTTTTTGGTTGTTCTGGGGTTCTCTCCCAGCGGGTTTGTCTTCATAGAAAGAAGCTCTGATTGGTGAACCTCAATCTCCAAATCTTACTGTACGCCAGTAAGTAAACTGTATTCTAACTTTATTCTATGGGCTTTGGGTGGCTCAGTCGGTTAAGCATCTGCCTTCGGCTCAGGTCATGATCTCAGGATCCTGGGATCGAGCCCCGCATCAGACTCCCTGCTCAGAGGAGAGTCTGCTTCTCCCTCTCCCTCTGACCCTCCTCCCCGCTTGTGCACATTCACTCTCTCTCTCTGTCTCAAATAAATAAATAAAATCTTTAAAAAAAAAAAAAACACATTATTCTATGGGCTTGATTGGGTGTGTCAAGCCCATTGGGTTGCTTTGGTGTCCTGCTAGTCAGAGTCCTAAGAATGTCAACTGAGAGTCAGTTCTGGAATAAGGGATTGCTACCTCTGGAGGGTGTCAAGGTGACCATGGCTTTCCCCAGAAGACTCTTGACTTTGTCCTTCTTCCTTCAAATCCTTTTATAATCTCAAGATTATGACCCACTCCCAGAGTCACATAGGTCAACAAGCACTTTGATAACCCACCTGGATTGTAGTAATTGAGTTGAATTTACGGAGGCTGTGATATACAGTATTGTTGCCAAGTACAAGGTAGTAAAAAAGAATACAAAGGAAATTTGAAATTATTTTATTGTCACCAGTAGCCCTAGAGAGGCCTTGCTCCCCCTTTTCTCCTGAATGAAGAGAATTACCATCTATCTCTCTGTAGGACTTTGGCACCTGGGGAGGTCAGTTGGCTCAATTCGTTCCACCTGCTGCACTAACTCCAAAAGCATTCTTTTTTTTTTTTTTTATTTAAGAGAGCACGCTTTAGTGGGGAGGAGGGGCAGAGGGAGAGGGAGAAGCAGACTCCTCGCTGAGCAGGGAGCCCAATGCGGGGCTCGATCCCAGGATGCTGGGATCATGACCTGAGTCAAAGGCAGACACTTAACCCACTGAGCCACCCAGGCGCCCCTCCAAAAGGCATTCTTAGTCATCAAAATGTAGCTCATCTTCGACCTGGCTAATTACGCCAGCACTGTATATAGACATCACGCTTGACTAAAAGGAAATACAAAAAATGGGCTTGATCTGGTTACATGGTAATACTGGCTCTTGTGTATGGAACTCTTAAGTTCTTATGTGCCATCTCTTATTTTAAACTTCATTCTTATAAAATAGGATTCATATATTTGTTCCTATTTTAGAGAGGCAGAAATTAAGCAAGAAGGAAATATTCAAGAGCTCGTACAACTAGAGAGCAGTAGAGTGGGGACCCAGGCAGCCCCACGCCAGAGCCCAACACAGTAAATTATAGGTTGAACAAAAACTTAATTCCAAATACTGAAAATATCAGCATTCAGAAGACAAAGAGGAGAACATTTGTGGATTTAATTGAGAGGATATTTAAAACTTTTTCAGAAAATCCGAGCAAAGTGTGGAGGGTTTTGCTTTTACGATTGGGGGGAAAGGGGGAGGAGCAGAGGGAGAGGGAGAAGCAGACTCCTTGCTGAGCAGGGAGCCCCACATGGGGCTCCATTCCAGGACCCCCGAGATCATGACCTGAGCTAAAGGCAGATGCTCAACCTACTGAGCCACCAGGCACCCCAGATTTTGGCTTTTTAAAATTTACTTTGGCTTGGATTTTTAGTTTTGGGCTTTGGGGGGATGGTTGATTTGGTTTGGTTTGGTTTGGTTTTGCCTAGGAGTACAGCAAATCATTTTTGTTTAATAGACAGGAAGGTAGTATTTAATCAGTTTAAGATGATGAACTGAGAGCTAAACTTTTAGCTAACTGCTAAACTTTTACTTTTATAAATGAGATATAAGGAGGCAAAGTGACCTGACAAACACTTTTTGAGGTCTTATCTTTGAAGTCTGGAAATTTATTGTATAGACCCAGAGGGAAATCAGAAAGTAAGTTTTAAATTGAAAAGAGTTCATTGAGAACAAACTCTTTTCTCATAACTACAAAAAGAAATTGGTTAGGGTTCAGTGCTGAAAAAGTTCAGCAATTTTAGCCAAGTTAATATTTTGTTCTTGTTTTCCTTTAAAGGGCAAATTTTAAAATAGAGATGATTTAAAACATTATTTTCTGGCCATCCTTGGGAAGCAGGGACGCAAGTTCCAATTAAGATGTGTACTGGCATATAAAGATCTGATTGCGTGCGCCTGGGTGGCTCAGTTGGCTGGGGGTCTGCCTTCAACT